TAAATTCTTTCGATTCGATATATGTTCAAAAAACAAATTGACTGAACATTTCCAGTCTTTTGGACGAGTCACTCTTACTGACAGAGAAACTTTAAATTCTCAGCCGTATTTGTACCAGTGAAACATTGCTCATATAATGCAGGGTGGGGCATGGTCTTGACTCAAGTTCAAGGTCACTTAAGATAAGATGTTTTGGTAGGATATATGGACTAAAAGAATATCTAAAAAAAACATACGTGAACTTTTCCAGTCGGTAACACGCAGATTATGTATTTCTATAACAGAGTTTTGTCATTGCTTGTCGCAAGGTCATTTAGAAAGTTCAAGGTCATGCTCATAACATTCCTTTACAGTTCTTTCTCCTGGCGAAACATTGTAAGTTGCTTCCTTTTCAAGCCTTTAGGTTGCTTACTTATATACCTTTAGAATGGTTTGACCTAGACTCAAGGTTACGTCTTCCTTTCCGTAGCTCAACGAGCTCGGCTCTAGTTTTTTTTCTTCTACTTCCTAGACGCCAACTTTGAAGCCTCATATCTCACTCATTTCTAAACTGATTTCGTTCAAATTCTCAGAGGTTCTAGAAGTTACTAAACTCTATCAGAATGCTGTCGAAAATTTCAAAAAGTAACTTCAGGTTTTGAGTTATTTTCCTTTAAACGAAAATTTATAGGCTTTCGTTTCCAGACAAAGGCTCAGAGACGGCTAAAGCTGGAGCAGAAATTCTACTGATTTTAGATAATAGAAGGATTGAAGTTGTGCACATCAGTTTTTGTTTTTCGATTTCTCTATTCAAAATGGCGCTATATAGGGGTCAAAAATTAGAACGCTTAAAAGAGCTAAAAATTACTCATATTTTGCTTGTTATCTTCTAAACTAAAAATATTTTGTTAAGACGTATAAAACAAAATTTGTGCAGAATTAGAAGATCTTTCAAATGATATCTCGGAAAAAGGGCTGACCCCTAAATTAAGGGATCTGGAGGGTCCAAATTTTTTTTCCAGATATCTCAAAAGTATTGAGAATTTGTAATACGTCCAAGAAGCAAAGTTGTTCAAAATGTCAAGCTAAATTTATTGAAGTCAGAAAATGCACATTTTTACCGTTCTTGACAAGTTTTTGGATAACATATGTCACTGGAAGCATAAAACGTAATTTTCTGTCCGTCGATATCACTTCCGGTCAAACCGGAAGTAGCCAAAAAAAGCTTAATTTTAAAGGTTTTGATGCAAAATTGAAATTATAAAGTGACTGGACACGACTTAGCTCATTGCTTTCTTTTGTTGACGTCACTTCCGGTCAAAACAGGACGGAAGACCTACTCGTTGCTTTGCAACGAGCTTTGCTCTAGTTTTTTCTACTTCCTAGACACCAACTTTGAAGCCTCATATCTCACTCATTTCTCAACTGATTTAGCTCAAATTTCCAGAGGTACTAGAGGTCACAAAACTCTATCAGAATGCTTCTTAAATTTTAAAAAGTCACTTCCGGTTTTGAGTTATTTCCCTTTAAACTAAAATTTATAGGCTTTCGTTTCCAGACAAAGGCTCAGAGACAGCTAAAGCTGGAGCAGAAATTCTACTGATTTTAGATAAAAGAGGGATTGAAGTTGTGCACATCGATTTTTGTTTTTCGATTTCTCTATTCAAAATGGCGCTGTATAGGGGTCAAAAATTAGAACGCTTAAAAGAGCCGAAAATTACTCATATTTTGCTTGTTATCTTCTAAACTAAAAATATTTTGTTAAAATATATAGAACATCATTTGTGCAGAATTAGAAGATCTTTCAAATGATATGTTGGAAAAAGGACTGACCCCTAAATTAAGGGATCTAGAGGGGCCAAAAGTTTATTCCAGATATCTCAAAAAGTATTGAGAATTTGTTATACATCAAAGAAGCAAAGTTGTTGAAAATGTCAAGCTTAATCTAATGGAGTCGTCAAAATACATCCAGCGTCGTCACTTCCGGCCAAACCGGAAGTAGTCGGAAAACGCGTATTTTTGCCGTTTTGGACAAGTTTTTGGGTAACATATGTCTCTGGGAGCTTAAAAATTAATTTTCCGTGCGTCGTCGGCACTTCCGGTCAAACCGGAATTAGCTAAAAATGGCTTATTTTTGCATTAATTAACATATCTTTAGAGGATACAAAGCATTTTTGAGCGTTATTTCTCATTTTTGTTAAAAATGAAAGCTACTAGTTACATAATGCCATTGTGCACCTCCTATTCTACTTTTTAATCTGACACATATTTCGGGTTTCGCAATTAGCAAAATATGGACATTGCCACTCTCTCTTTAATAAGGTATTGAAGGGTAATCATCTCTTATCTGCAGCCTTTCCTATACCACTGAATTAAATTTATTAATACTTTCACAGACTCTGTACTAAATAATACCATTTTGCACCTTCTATTTTACTTCTCGGTCAGACACATTTTGGGCCTTCCAGAGTAAAACGTACTTTGCCCCTATAACCATAATCCCTATTTGAGGAATGTACCTATGTATGTACTAAATAACAGGCCTTTAGATTGCTAAAAAAATTGTGTGCCTTAAAAAAAAATATTTTTTTCACACCGCAAATTTTTTTCTAAGCGATCTAAAGGCTTGTGTATTACTTAGAAGACAGTCAGACTTTATGAGAATATTTGTATTTTATCTCCAAACTTATTAGATACTACCAGTACATTGTAAACTAGAGGTACTGTGAGCAATGGGCTCACTAAATGATACGCTTTGGGGTACCCATCTCTTATCCGCAACTCCTCTCATACCACTGAATCAAATTTGATGAAACTTTCACAGAATCTTTATTACATATTGCCATTGTGCACCTCCTATTTTACTTTTTGATCCGACACATATTTTGGGTTTCCCTGCCACAGGAAAACATGGATTTTTTCACCAGTTACATGTATAACCATATGGGAGGCGGGGGGTATCATTTAGTGAGCTCATCGCTCACAGTACCTCTAGTTTTTCCACATTTTGAAATTCCCTGCGTATATACATGTACATAAGGAATCAAAGCAACATGGAATTATACCCCCCGCTTGAAAAGTGGGAGGGTATATAATTATCAGGATGTCTGTCTGTCCGCTTGAAAAGCGGGAGGGTATATAATTATCAGGATACCTGTCTGACCGCTTGAAAAGCGGGAGGGTATATAATTATCAGGATGTCTGTCCATCCATTACGCTTTGGGATACCCATCTCTTATCCACAACTCCTCTTAAAACTGTGAATGAAATTTAATATACATTAGCGCCATTGTGCACCTCCTATTTTACTTTTTAATCGGACATATATTTTGGTTTTCCCATAGCAAACCATTGGCACTGCCATTCTTTCTATGATATTGAAGGGTACCCATCTCTTATCCAAAACTCTTATACCACTGAATAAAATTTAATGATACTTGCATAGATTCATTACATAATGCCACTGTACATCTCTTAATATACTCTCTGACCTGACACTTTTTTTGCATCTCCCACAGCAAAACATGGAATTTGCCATTATAATCAAATGGGAGACAGGGGGAAAAGGGGGTATCATTTAGTGAGCTCTGCATTCACAGTACCTCTAGTTTATGGTTATGCTCCATAGGGTATTAGTTACTCAGATTTAATGAAGCATATGCTGATAAAACATGTTATATGCGTAACTACCCTGAGCTCATCTCTTTCAAATGGATTTTTCTATAGGATGAGAACTTTCTGATAGAATACAAGGGTATAATGAAATGAAGTCCTGGTACCTAAATATTTTTTTTCCATTCAGAGCAAATTTGAAACAAGCCCCTGTTGACATGGTTAACACTGAAAAGTTAATATATAAATATTATATGTGATAAAAACATTTATTTGATATAGTTATCCCTCCTAGGAAAGGGTCATTTCTCCTTCAAAAAGTAAATATCAGACTAAATTTAAAAGATCATCTTATTCTATTTTATTGAATTTTTAATAAAATTCAATATGCTTTTGAAAATAAAACTCGAAAGGTAGACAATTTCTTTAAACATTCTTAAATGTTCATGTTATCCATATTGACAAATGTTTACATCTTCCCTAATGTTGGCAATACTTTTAAAAAAAAAATAGTATTTGTACAATACCATGCACATGCAGTGATTTCTTTTTTTAAGCCAGATACCGTAAAATCCCTATTAACCGCCATGGGAGCTTGGAAAAATTGCAACATTTTGTAAAAGGGGGCAGTGTGCATTTTGAAGTATTCTACAATTATTTCTTAGAAGTTTTTTTCGTGTGGTATTAATTTACCCTATGTACCTCAAATTTTGATTAATTTGGGATTATACGGTATTAGAATAGATGCAAAATTTCCATAAAAAATATAAAACACATTTCTTCATTGAACTGGCTCTGCATTTAATTCGAACATGTTGTCAACATTTTGTAGATCAAAATCCAGCATCCAAAGAAAAGCCTGGAAGTGTGCATTCTTATAAGTATGATCCCTGTAAGTTTGGTCACAGCTTATGGTTACTTTAGAATGAGACCTGCACCAAAAACTTTAACCTGTTCGATAATGTTAACCTGGCCACTCATCCAAAAAATATAGGCCAGACTCAACATCACAAACAAGCTTGGTAGAGTACATCCTTAGATGTATTATCAATGCAAGTTTGTTCAACATATGGCTATAGATACTAGTATTTGGAAATTAATGAGACTTACTCCAAAACTTTAACATGCTCTAAAACATTGACCTGGACACTCTTTGATTGAAAATGCAGCTTTGGAAATCTGACAGGTCCACAAGAAGTAGATCTCTGATAAATATTACATAATAGGACATAGGACTAAATTAAAAAGAAACCAGGTCCAAATACTTTAACCTAAGTATACTGATAACCAAGTATATGTAGCTCATCTCATTTCCTTGACGTAAGCTCAAAATTACATACTGTTGAAATATTGCTTCAAATACATGTATTCAACACAAGATATTTGCCTCAAAATCATGACTATTAAAACACTGTTATATAATTTACTAAATATTTTGGTAAAATGAAAATATTACAAATATGTTTATGATTTTTGTCTTGATGAGCCGGCACCATCAAGTTAACATTCACAACACCATCCACAAACACTTTACAGTATATATCTTTGTCTACTCTGAAGTCATCACTAAAATCATCACTTATGGTCCAACTGTAGTCATTGCATTCTTGACATTTCTTGTTGTAACCTGTTTGAGAATGCCTTGGCCACTAAAGTCTGAGTGTCTATATATCTGTCCATACACATCGCTAAACATTTCTGGAAATGGAGAAAACAAGTAAAGCATAAGATAGAGAATTCATAATGCTGATCTCAAAAAGAGGATTACAGAAAAACTCGCTAATGAGGCTGGGGGTGGCAGCCATTTTCAGACTATATCGATCTCCTTTAAAAGAAGAGCTCCATATAAAGATATACAAAAATGATCAAATTTTAAAACTAAAATGTATGAATTTTTTTTCTTTGCCAAATGATAGTTGACAGCTTAAGATACCGTATCTAAAACCAGAAGTCTCTGTCGAGACTGAAGCTCTACTGGTTTGAACTTATAGCAAAGGAAGAGAAAAGTACTTAAGCAGCTTGGATTTGAAATAAATAGAATAATGATCGTTGATAAAGTCTCTTTATGTTCTTAGTGAAGTCTACTTGTGTGCCAAGTTATACTGAAATCAGACCAAAACTGTAGGAGGAGTAGCATTTTGAAAGAATTTCACAGAAATTTCTATTTTTAGTAACCACAACACCGTTCATCAAAATCAAAAACCGATACACAGAATTATGTATCTTAGTGTATTCTACTTGTGTGTCCAGTTATACTGAAATCAGACCAAAACTGTAGGAGGATAGCATTTTGAAAGAATTTCACAGAAATTTCTATTTTTAGTAACCACGGCAACACCGTTCATCGAAATCAAAAACCCATACACAGAATTATGTATCTTAGTGTATTCTACTTGTGTGTCCAGTTATACTAAAATCAAACCAAAACTGTATGAGGAGTAGCATTTTGAAAGAATTTCACAGAAATTTCTATTTTTAGTAACCACGGCATCACCGTTCATCGAAATCAAAAACCGATACACAGAATTATGTATCTTAGTGTATTCTACTTGTGTGTCCAGTTATACTGAAATCAGACCAAAACTGTAGGAGGAGTAGCATTTTGAAAGAATTTCACAGAAATTTCTATTTTTAGTAACCACGGCAACACCGTTCATCGAAATCAAAAACCGATATACAGAATTATGTATCTTAGTGTAGTCTACTTGTGTGCCAAGTTATATTGAAATTAGACCAGAATTGTAGGAGGAGTAGCATTTTGAAAAATTGTTTACAGACAGACGGACAACACAGACTATTGACGGAACACTGCACCTCGGATGCATTACTATCATAATGACTGGTCTCTGACCAGTAGAGCTAAAAAATAAGTTAAATCTGGTGGTTAATTTGTGGTTAATTTGTTGACCCTCCCCCAAGCCTCCTTAGGTACATGTAAAAAAAACATGAATATTGTGACTGAATTCACAAATATAGGGAAATTATCTTTAGATCCCCAGCTATTTATTTTAAATAAAATTTTTTATATGGATATAACGAATTACAGATATAGTGAAGTATTTTCATAGGTCTCAGTGACTTCGTTATAACTGAGTTTTACTGTATTAACATGATTGTATCAGAGTTTTATACTTGACTTGTACTCACATTTTCTGAACTGCTTAGTGATGTTCCTGGTTTAGTGACACATTTTTTAAAACATTTCTCTGACATTTTCTGAAGAAAAAAAGCAAAAATAAATGTCTCTCTGCATCTTTTGGTCAGTTGGATTCTATATGTACAACCTGCTAAAAGAAGCTCCCAAAATAGATTGAGGATATTTGTTTAAAATTGTTGTGTTATCTGACTCTATAGGAACATATCTTGGACCGACTAGTGTTTTTTCAATGGTTAGTAAACTGTCTAAGGCCAGGTCATTAAATATCAAGATATAAATGCTATTCAATCAAAGAAATGAGAACAATTTCCTCTCTGAAAAATGACATTATTACCCAGGTCATCTACTTTTGTAAAAACTAGAAACACACAGCTGGGCCCCGCCATGGGTATATATAACTTGCACTTGCAGGAATGTCATTTTCAAAACAATTCAGAACAACTCTATATGTTCCTTCAATGAATGCAAATATCATGAAGGCTTGACCTTAACTTCAAAACAAACAGCAAATGCAGAAAAAGGATTTCATTAATCTTAAAGTGACAGCTTAAGATAAGCCTTTTTTCTGCAGCAGGCTTCTGGCTATAATTAATCCCAAGGGATTAATTGTACTTCTCTCTATCATTTTTTTTCATTTAAATTTACAATAAGAACTTTTACATTAATGATAGAATGAGGTTTTTATCATGGTACCTTAAAAATTGATAATAATATTCTTGAATTTACATAAAGCAAATATTTTTAGAATTCAATGAAATCAAACTCATCTGTGTAGGATACTTTAACAAAAATAAAGTATAAACATTTATACTTAACTCCATGTTTCAGAGTTTTCATAGCATTCCAAATTGACTACAAATTTCATTTGCAAACAGAGGTGGTAATTCATCTCAATGTGACAGATAAAGATAATGCTTTGGATTTTCTTCAGGAGGAAAGCTAATTAATCCCAATGGACTCATTGCAGTATTCAGTTTACAATGGGAACATCTTCTGATCAGCAGTTATCTCTCTTTGCCAATTCATTCTTATATTAAAGTTAAGGAATCTACCCCACCACCCCAGCTCCAAACCAGAGGACATAGAGAAACAAACTTAGCATCAAAATATGTCTTTCTGCCTATTTTTTACCATACCAAATTTGAAAATTGGTCAACCATAAAAAAAGTTATTAGGAAAAAACAGAAAATTTGTGGACGGAAGAATGACAGACGGACATACAGTGATTACTATAGGGCACCCGCAAATCCTTGCGGGGCCCTAATTAAGACCTTAAATATATAATAGTTTAACACTCTACTTATTATCCACTAAAACAGTCCAGTCCAATACGAAAAATCGTAATGTTACAAAATATAGTAATATTACAAGAAATCGTAATATTACAGAATATTGTAATATTATTGTTATATTACTATTTTTCGTAATATAGTTAAATTATGGAAACTCGTAATATAGCAAGTTGAGAGAGAATATATTACGAGTTTTCGTAATGCAAGACAAAATTAAGCATTGATATAAACTGAATGATGTTTAGGGAAGTATGCAGAAATACATTATGCCCCAATGGTACTAGTATCACGTGGTCATTTTGGTCATGACGTCTTGTGTGCAAGAAGAAAGTAACAATAGTAATGTGTGAGTGAACATTTTGTTTTATTATATATAAGAATTTTCCCAAGGATATATTTTCAATTTTCCATAAAATTTGAATGTATCCTCAAGCTTGTCACAATGGTCTATAATCAAAATTTTATATTTCCCGGTGTGTAAAATCAGAATCTCAAACAACGAGATGTTACGAGAGATAACTTGTAAGACTCTCACTAGGCTCTGAATCTGCTTGCACTTGGATCAAATGCACCAAAATAAAGAAAATGCACTAACCATACATATCCACCATATCATGATGATAAAACCAGAGACATATAATCTCTGATGAAACATAACAAAGAGATTGTATCAGAAAAAAGGGAAGTAACTCTTAGAAGAGTTAGAAATTGCTTATATTACGAATTTTAGTAATATTACGATTTTTCGTATTGGACTGGACTGTAAAAGTGCATTTTACTTTTAGTATAGAATCAGCTATCATCATCAATAATTTCCCCCCAAAATGTTTAAATTGATACTTTTAAGTGATGTTTTTTTCATCAGGTCAAAATATCAAGCTTTAGTGTATCAGGTCTTTAGTATGTTCCATTAATGTCTCACCCGAAGGACTTGTCTCCACGTCCCACGGTTGGATTTAAACTAGCTGCAGAACTGTAGCTCTCTGCTTGAGAAAATTCAGACAGATAAAGCAGAGAGCTACAGATCCAAGCATTGTAAAAACCTTCGATTTATGCCGACAATTTTTTGTCACTACTTTAGGTATTTATTTCGTGTAGTCTATGCTTTCTCTGGCTTTTAGAATGGTATCCTATAATAATTCATATATCTAACTCTTATATTTGATACTTTATTTACCTTTTAACGGTCCGAAAGAGTCCTGTATATATTTTTGTATTGTCGGTTTTAAATTCCATTTCGAATCCGTAACCACAAACAGCCATATGTTAGCGTTTAGAGGTAAGTAAATTATCAGGAATAAGTTTAATGTATTATTAATTATTGAATGCCATTTAAAAGTAATTTCAAAGCCGGGAAAGTATAAAATACAAGAAAAAATACCCGTAGTTGGCAACAAAAAATCGTCGGTGTAAATCGAAGGTTTTTACGACGCTTGGATCTGTAGGGGTGCGTCGATTTACCCAAATGGACCCAAATGGACTTAGCTGGCGACCCAAATGGACAAAATTATGATGAAATAGTAATTAATTAATTATTTATAGTGATGTAGCATCGTTTTTAAAAGTGTGTGTGGGGGGGGGGGGGGGGGTCGGTTTTAAATGAAAATTTTCAGTATTAAAAAGTTATCTCTGGAAAATAGGTGTGGGGGGGGGGGGGGGCTCCTGTTGCTACGTACCTGATTTACTCAAAAAGATTAAAACTTTGTGAAACTTTCCGATTGGTAAACTCTTATATTTCAAAATAATTCGCTTAGATGTAATAAATAAAGTATGCATTTTTGCCTATACAATATTTTGAATTTTTGTGATAAACATAAAACACATTCAGCAGCTTTTATTTCATTTATTCTGAATATTCAACGATATTTATATCTAAATGCAAAAATAAATAATTTTATTTTAAATGTATAGATGCATTCTAGTTCTGAAATAAAGTCTCCAGAAGTCCATTTGGGTCGCCATTTGGGTCGTCATTTGGGTCCATTTGGGTCGCCATTTGGGTCCATTTGGGTTCATTTGGGTCCATTTGGGTAAATCGACGCGCCGGATCTACAGTTCTGCAGCTAGATTTAAACTTACGATGTAAGTATCTGACGGTCACATCGTCAACATATATGATATTACAATAATTTAAATAAAAAACTGTCTAAAAAGGTTTAAAAAGTTGTTGCATGCCTGGTGTATTTATATATAAAGGGGGAATTATATTTATCAATCATCTGATCAATCCAATTTAACCAGACGACTAATACACAGCATAAATTTATCAAATAACAAGAATCCATGAAATCATATCTAGCTGGAAAAAACACTGTTAATAATTTAATTTTCTCTTGTTTTAATTTCTCATTATATAAAATATATATTTAACATTTTTAAGGATTCTTTCATCACTTTTGTTTCATAATATAAAGTCAGGCACACATTATGAAAGAAAATACCTGGAGTAATTCCTGAGCGTTGGCAATTGCTATCTGTTGTTTTACTTCGTTCATGTAATCTTCTCTCTTTGAAGGGTCAAACTTTGCAGCGGCATTACCAGAATAATCCATATTGTTGTTATTTTTGATGACCTCTTGCAAGTCCCAAGCATGTGAATATATTGTCAATGTAACAATTGTGTTTAAAAATATAATTGAAGAATCCTTAATGTCAAACGTTTAGATGATTCTAAAATTCCAAAAGTATCCGGAAAAGCGTTTTTCTCCTTTGTTGATTTTTACTAAAAATGAAAATGACAGATGGTCATATCGTACGATTGACAAAAACAATACTCTCTGGACGATAGAACATGTAACTTTAAACAGGTAAAGCCCATAACTAATTAATGTACAGGAAGATGTGGATTTGTATTGACTTTGTTGTAGGTTAACCTTATTCTGCTGTGGAATAACAGTAGTTATGATGTTCGAATTTCCTCAGAATAAAAATGTATCGTTGTTTGGTTTGGGAAATTTAAATCTAGTGTGTATATTGTAAACATTACTTTTTAATTTGGTAAAGGGTCTTTTTTGTTTGTTTTTGTTTATTTTTTTTTTAAATTAATAAAATATACACATGACATGATGATCTTTGAATGGGGAGGGGCAGAATGCCAGATGATAATCACAATCAATATTCACACTTTACAAAAGTAATAGGTCAAAAGCACGACGATTGTGCTATTTATTGATGGTACCAGAATCGGTCAGTTTGCCCTATCTATCTGTTTGCATGAGTCTGTTCGTGTTGTCTATGGTCACCATAATTTTTGTAAGCCAAGGGAGGCTTTATCTGTTCACCAATTATTTGATCGTCCTTTCGTAAATATTTTATGTCAAAATTAAGTTATAATATGTTGACGGTGCGACCATTAGGGTGAGCGCAGATACTTGTCCAGTTTTCATTTCGATCGGGCTCGTCAAACAGCACGTGACATTCGGTGCGTCTAAGACTCTGACGTCATATGACGTTGAATGCATGTTGCTTTACCAAATCGAAGCATGAATAGGGCTGATTTTAATGAAAAACTGTTTTATTGACTATTTTTCGACAGAAATTCATTAAATGAAGGCAAGTTTATTATTCGTTTAACCTTTGTTGTTAAAATTCTCGCGAGAACGTTGCTTTACCGTTTCTGCACGAAGTGATGCATTGTGGGTCCAAATTACTGCAGAAAAATTTTCTTTCGAATGAATGTGCAGTAGTCCGAATTTTCTCTTCGCCCAGGCATTGTCGTTAGAGCTCGCAGTGACGAGCGTCGCTTTGCAACGCTCGCTGCGCTCGCTGCACTGTATCATCTAATTTTAAGTCATAGTTGTTAATTAAAGATCTTGTGTATAGCCTAAGTATGTTTATTTGATAAAGAATTTCATAGATGTCAATTTTTCTTTAACTAAGATTTCTCTGAGCAAAAATTGATTGTTTTAATTTCGGTATCATAATTTCATAATTTCTTGGATAATTTGACAGAACAGTAAAGTTACAGATTATGTTTATATGAACAAATCTTTATCTTACAGATAAAAAAAAATCTTTTATTATTATGCTTCATTATATGTTGTTCACTTTCTTTGTACATGTATTTCAGAACAGATCTCTAAGATAGGATTAGGTGACAATGAGTGCCCTGACAATTCTAGCTGAAGAATGTGAGCTTCTGAATGATTCCAAATACAGATCTTACATCAGTCAGGTGGAGAAGGCACTGAAGAGCTTCGAGTACACCAGTGAGTGGGCAGATCTCATCTCTGCCTTGGGCAAACTTAACAAGGTGAGTATTATGTTAAGGATTATAGCTAGGCCTTATATGACACATTTAAAGAGGAAACTCAAAATATATAAAAAATTTCCAAAAATGGTTACTCTGTTCCTCCTGATGTAATGAAATTCAGTTCATTGGCAAACTTTTTATTTCTGCCATGATTTTTGCATTACAAAAGTATGTCGTCTTTTATTAAGGAATTACTGTATGAAATCTGAGTAAATCAGAATGTTAGTTTCTGGTCTATAATTTTGTAATAGAAGATTACCAGCATAAGATTTTTCAATGAACCATGATATATTATTGATCTACATTGTAGGTACTAGTGGGTCACACTAAATACCCAGTCATTCCAAAGAGGGTGACCATAGGAAAGAGGCTTGCACAATGTCTTCATCCTGCACTGCCCAGCGGTGTCCATCTCAAGGCCTTGGAAACTTACGACATCATTTTCAAATGTATAGGAACTCGGAGATTAGCACAGGACCTGTTTATATACAGTGCAGGGTTATTTCCCCTGCTGGGACATGCTGCTATGGGGGTAAAGCCTGTGTTACTGACCTTGTATGAGCGACACTTTGTGGCCCTGAAAAAGGATATCAAGCCCGGGTTAAATGGTCTTTTGCTGGGGCTACTGCCCGGGCTTGAGGAAGGATCAGAACTTCTTGATAGGTGAGACATGTTTTGTGTATAACACTATTTCTTATGTTATAAATTTCTTACTGAAAGTAGGCGTGAAAGTTTAATTACGTGTCCACCAAGTTTTAATCAAAGAGGAGTCTTGGAGCATTGTTTATTTATTTATCTAACTGATTAATGTGATTAATCTAGACACATCCTGTAAAACAATTAATACTTTAAAACTATATATTTTCAACAAATTTTTAGCAATTATCTATTTTGAGTCCCATTCATAACTTATTTTGAAATTTTCATAACTGAAGAAACATACATGTAATGTATACATGTGTATATGCTTACAAAAAAAAGTTCAAGGAGAGAACTACACTTAGATGTTTGTAAAGGTGCGCAACTATACTCTAACTTGTGGATATTTCTGGATTGCAAATAAAAGTTGCTCTACAGTATGTTTTATTTTCTTGTAGAACTATCTTACTGCTGGAGGATTTTTGTTCAGCTGCGGGGCCTGAGTATTTTTACACCTGTCTTTGGGAGTGTGTTAAGTCCTGCCCCAGTGTTCGCCTCCCTGCCATTACCTATCTACTGTACCACTATAACAAGAAACAAACCATGGAGGACCAGCTCTTTATGATGGGACTCAATATTGATCTCATGGTATTTATCCAAACCTTTACATATATGCAAACAAAAAGTAACTGAAAACAAAGTGATTATGAATAGGATAGGATTCTTCAGTCTGAATGAAATTGCAGATTTATTGAAAGTCTTACTTGTATATATTTTAAGCTAAGAACTTTATTGATACCTAAAATGTAACATATTATATACTTTTTTTTTTATTTTACTAAATAAATGTACATGTGATTAATTTTCCAGGGACTTTGTAAGACTTACAAAAACATATATTGTAATTTCAGGTGGAAGCATTATGTGGTGCTATACAGGACTCTAATGTCTTGGTACAGCGCAGTCTCCTAGACTTCATGATGCTAGCCTTTCCAATGCATAATGCTCAGCTTACAAAATCCGACATGTCCAAAATTGTCCTAGCTGTCGTAAACGTTGTCCTGCGGAGAGACATGTCACTCAATCGCCGACTTTACTCCTGGCTACTAGGATCCAATGTCACAAACATGGCTTCTCTGAACATTCCTCCCGAGTTCTCCAAACACCAGCAGTCCGGGGACAGTATCTCGACGTCCAGTGAGACAGACCTGGGCTACTTCTACACCTTCTCCAAGGAGCTGCTGATACAGGCGTTAAAACAGAAGCTGGCCGTTACTGAGGAGGAGGAGGGGGAGGGGCGGGAGGGGACAAAACTGGGGGTCCTTAGGCCATTCAGGATCCTGATGAGTTTACTAGACAAACCGGAGATAGGTAAGCTGATGATGAAGGTGTGATGAGAATTATGATTGTTAAATATTACTGTTTATGTGGGTATCAAATAAAGTTAAACCTCTTTATCTTGAAGTTAATGAGACCAAGAATATTTTTCAAATGATTTTGTGGATTTGAGATATATTGAGGTTAAAATGCATAAAGAAAAAATTGAGATTGGGACTTCAAAAGCAATCTGAAATATTCACAGTATTGAAATATCAGAATTCATCACTGTTCAGGATAACAAAGTTAACCTGTAGCTCTGATGGTGATTTACCAATCATTCCTTAACAGGAGTGTGTATTTGTAAGAAATAAAACCCACCTTCTCCTTGTTTTATCTGGAATCATTTGTGTTGTTTAATCATTTTATAGGTCCAGTAATCCTTGAGAGTGTTCTCCTATCTGTGTTCCGGTGTCTGTACAGGGAGAGTGGGAGTTACTCCAGGAAAAAACAGGAGAAGAAAGAGGGGACCATGTCCACCAAATCAGGAAGACTGGAGGAGGAGAGAGAGGAACGGACTCACAATGAGCTCATCAAGACCTGTAACCTGCTGTTTGGGGCCTTCGAGCCCTACTTCATCTGGGACTATGTGGCTCGAATGTTTGAGGCATCCTGTCAGAAGTGTGTGAGTTCTAGGAAGATCCGCCGTACAAACTCAGTACAGGAGAGCGATATACCGGCCCTCCCTGAGCTGTGTACACTCGTGGAGTATCTACTGGATGTTATCTCATTGGTCAGTTAAAATATATCATGCCAATCAATCCTTAATATGAAAAACATGGAGAAATACAAAAATTATAATGTGAATTACTTGTTATGTTGCCCCTACTTATAGTTCAATTTTATATGATATTGGTATGATTTTTCATAGTTTTCATGGGTAAGTTTGTTGCATGTTTTGATAACATTGATTTTAAATTTGATCCTTTTTTTGCATGTTAAACATGCAGGCTCTTCTATTTCATTATCTGATTCATCAATCTGACTATCTTCCATACATCATTTAGTAGGCTCATTAGTCAATATAGAAATAGACAGAGCATTTTTGTTTACTACCAACAAATGAAATTATACATATAGATTCTAAACCTTATGATTTTTACTTTTATTTGGATTTATAAAATGCTGTTTTTTGTGACAGGAGACATTTTTGGAGACCCAGACCGACCACTTGCCAGATTTACTGTTCAGAATCACCAACACCATGACGCTGTACTGCACCGACATCAGCGAGGGGGATATGTCATGTACCATACAGCTCTGCTCAAAATTACTCTCCAAAGTACAGCCCCCAATGAATGCTATAGATAATAAGCTTGATGAATCTGAGGTAAACACTCTTCTCTTCAACATGTTAAAGGAATATTTGGAAAAAAATTTTGGCGATGATTAAAAAAAAATTAGTAATGTGTATAGGGTACATAATATTATATAGTGCATTTAGTCATGTAATATAATTTTTGGCTCATCAACTGAAAGCATTAGTGAGCTTTCCTAGTCAATTTTTTTTTATTAATTGAAAAAATTGACTTCTACCAATATTGATTAAGATCCATAGGTTTGTTTATGCACTGTCAATTGAATATACATTTTGCAGGAAAATGAACTATATTTAAATTAATGTTCATTATTGTGATGTAAATTATATTTTAAGATTGTATCAGAATTCCCTGGTGAGGTAAACCTGCAGGACATCCAGAGGTTACAGGGGACACTAAAGACAGACAATGACGTGAAGGAGAATGGAGAGATAAATGATGGGGAACAGGGAGAAGACCCACAGACAGACCAACAAAGTGAAAACAAAGAGGCTAATAGAGAAACACTGGAGGATAGTACAGTACAGGACGCTGACCAATCAACAGGAGGTCAGCAGGGACCTCGCCATTGGACCGTGAAGCGTCAGGGGTCACGGTACCCTCTTAACATGATGCAGGCGTGTGTGGAATGTTATCAGAACTTCTTCCACGTTTACACAACGAAGAAGATCTTACAAAGTGAGGAGATTTCTCGTCAGTGTCTTGAGGGACTGGTGCTTCCTCAGGAGGCAGTGAGGAGTGAGGAGACAGATTCGGTGTTAGATACTGCCTCGGATTACAGCTATGAGGATAGTTTTCCTTCAGGTGTTGACCAATCAAATCGTCCAAAGCTAGTCACTGTGGACTCGTTAACAGAGGACGTGGTTACTACGTTTAAAAATGCCTGTAAACTTTTGTCAGAGTTTTCCAACTTTCCGATTTATTGTACAGATTTTCAGAAAGCAATGAAAAGGTCACAAAGTAATGGTATGTATTTTGACACTATAGACGACAAGCAGTACTAGTATTGAATTTTATAAAGAAATGTCACAATATTTAGAATAGCTAAGCAAAGCATGTAGAAGATTAAAATCTTGCTTACAATATAAAATAATGTGGATTTAACATCTTTTTCACTTTAAGTTATTTGCCATTTTGCCAAATAATTTTTAAATTTGATTAACAATTTAAAATTTTGTATAATACTTTAAAAAGCAGCTGAAGGAGAAGAGCTGCCCCCATGGCTACAGGATCTGATCACCTGTAATGTTGCCATAGAGAACTTTGAGATTCAGAGCGCGACCATCAGCATTATCCTGGAACTGATTCAGCTGACACGCTCCGTCGGTTCTGATGACACTGATCACTCAACTGTAGATCATTCTCCAACAGGAGGCACTGTGTCCGTGATGATTTTACCAGCACTGCTTCCAAAACATCTCAAGTATCTCAACAACAACACAGTCTTCTATAAGGTAAATCTCAAACTTGTTAATTATAACAGGGTTGGTATACATTTCCTGATGGTAAACTCTGTGTAGAACCAAAAAAGACACTCTTCCTTCAATGATTGAGAAATCGAAATTTATACAATTTATTCAATAAGTCTAAGTTTTAACCAGTATACATGTCTCAACAAAAAAGTTACAAAAGCAAAACTTTGCCTATAAAATATGTCATTTTTAGGGTCAATCTTTGCAAATCTCATTTTCTAAAACATTGGATTTTTTAAAGGTATTAGCCGAGATTTTGTGGGGATTTTTGGACAGTTCCTCCCCGCAGTATCACCAGCAGGCTGTCAGGATGTTCTACCTCCTTCATCAAGTCGCCCCGTCATCCTGGGTGTGTGAGGACGTGATTGGTCGATATTTTGTCTCGGACAATGAGGTAGGAGTAAACTGAATTTAATATGTAATTATGATTGTCAAGGATTTGATAATAATAAAGTGGCTTTGTGATGTTTTTTGTATACAAGGCATTAAGACTACTGGGCATGCACAAAAAAAGCATTAAGCAATATGATAGATAAAATATTTATTAGAAGGAGTTAGTAACTTAATTACTTGGCTGTTAATTAAATGCATTGGAAGAGGATGCAAAAAGTGGGTTTGTGTTGTATTTTAGGTGGTGAAGATTGAGGCCTTTAAGAGATTTGCCGTCCTGTGGCATTTGACCAGGAACATCAGAGACATTTCTACCCCCACTGGATCTCATAGGAAGTTTGACAGGTAAATGTGTGTGTGTTAGAACAGCTTGAATCATGTAGGGATACTTTATTTTTCTGAATGCATAAAATAAAATTTAATGAAGTCATTTTCATAAGAAAATGAAATCTAGAAAAGACTGAAAAACTATTAACAATTTTTGAATAATATTGAGGTTTGTGCTATAATTCAGTGATATATAATTTATATAAATGTTTAACATAAAACAGGTCAATCTTTTTGTTAATGGGCAGTTGTTCAGTAATTTAATAACATTCTTTATTTGCCAGGTCAATGTTTGTAGTACTGGACAGTTTGAGGGAGGAGAACAGTACAGTGAAGGCTGTGGCTACCACCTGGCTGACCCATCTCCTTCAGCGGGGGGACATAGGGAGGGTGCTGGACCCTATACTTCACATGTTACTGCACCCTGATACCGCCAGGTAAAAGAGGAGATCGTATAATAAGTGCTTGACTATTTTTATATATTACATGAACTTCATGTAATAGCCAACTTTTGTGTAAAACATGAGCCTAAAAACTCTTTCAATTGCAGAGTTACTGCCCTTAAGTGATGAATCTATAAAGCCAATACCAATGACCTTGACCTTTTTAATGAGCTTGTCATGCAAGTTGAAGTTCTATAATCATGATTACTCAAGCGCAATATTTTAATCCTTTTAATCATGTTAATGTAGGAGAGTTGCGCAAGGGGACCGAACTCAGACTAGGCAAATGCAAAAAAATATTAATATTAGAATTAAAGGCATCTATAATGAAAAAAGATTTCTTTTATATTAATAAACAATTTCTAAAAATTTAATATGTCATGAAAATACCATTTAATCATTTAACATGTTTAAGTAGCATTTTGTAGCATGAAATGGCATGTTTTAATTTAAGATTAATATTGATAAATTCACCTGTAATTGGAATTTTTTTCTGTGATACATAGTTGTTTGCCAACGACAATTTTTTAATATGTTTTTCTTCTATATTTAATAAATTCAAAACAGTATAATTCAAATAAAAAAATCATCCTCGCTTTAAGATACGATTAACCAAACTTTGAAAAAAAAGCTTTTATTGCTAAAATCTAGATTCTTTGTATATTCCCTCATATAATGTGGCTAAATACAAAATATATTTGTAAATTTTTTTTAATGAATATAATTGACTACTATTGCACTACCATAACATATGCAAGATTGAAATAAAAATTATAGCAAATATGTTTAAAAGACGCACTTAAAATGCATCATTTTCAATGGATGTCAATGCTCTTTTTACACTTTTTTTATAGGAATACAAATAATCCCCGTTACTAAAAATAGAAACAACTTACGACAAAATGTAAATCATATTTTAGGTCATTTGACCAAATCTTTATTTGTGTGGGTTACTTTTAAATTTTCTAAGATAATGCATCTGGACAATTTTTTTTCAATTTGCATGGTTTTCTCTGAGACAGGCACTTAAGTAATTTAACTTACCTGTTAAGCCACTTGCAATGTTTTAGGCATATTTCTTTCTAAAACAATGAAATTTGTGCATGTTGACTGAGAAAAAAAGGTTGAGTCTAATTAATATTAAATGTTTCAAATTATTTCTTATATATAGGATATCCATTCAGCATGTTAACATCCACACACCTCGTAAAGTTCATTTATCAGAATCATCTGAGGAGGGATCAGAAGCCCAGATCTATGCCATCAGCAGTGAGGGAGGGAACATCATCTACCATGTGTCTAACGAGGGTCGTAAAATCACGGGGAGAAATGCAGAGAACCTGAAGCAGCTAGCCCTAGTAATGGGGGAACATGGATCCACTTCACTAACCCCACATGAAGAAGAACTGCACTTCGATCGAGTCAGACCCGATGATTTAAATCTACAGATAAATCCATGGGGATCCGAGAACTCGTTGGATAAGTTTGACGGATTTGATCATTCAACTCCCACTCAGGCTAATCTTACCACTGCCAAAAGGTTGGATAAAGAAACTTGTGTTAAGGAAGGTATCTTTTTTGGTGATGAAGGTGAGGAAATTAAAGATGAGGATAAGGGAGATAACCCACAATCACAAGTGAAGGGAGATAATCCAACTTCACAGGAAATAGTTGAATGGGTGCTGGACTGGATCTTGAATCAAGTGATGGAACAAACCAATGCAGAACAGAACAAACAGAAAGCTCTGGAGAGAACAGCAAGTGTGACAAGTAGTGAAGTACAGGACCATGATATTCTGAACAGTATAGAGAGGAGAGGTCTGGATATAGACTCTCCCACAGGAAGTGAGCTGGATATGTCCAAAGCCACTCAGAGGGAGGACAGGGTCAACACAGACATACACACTCTACACATGCACATGCTTCTGTACACACAAAAGTATGATGGTAAAAGGACATTGTATGCCCTGGAAATGCTAAAGTCCATGTTGGCTGCCTGTCCAAGGCTTATTGTGACAGCATTAGTTACTACCAGTATTAGCTCAGTCCGAACACGACAACTGGCCAAATTACAAACTCTATTGGCCAGGCACAGAAAGTCTATTTTTGGGAAGAACTTCTTTGGAGACCTTCCTTCAGAAGTGTTATCTAGTTATAGAAGTAATATGTTCATAGAAATAATGATATCTGTGTGTTTGTACTTTATCCGAAGTTATTTTCCAAATTTAATGATGAGTAAGTTGTCCACAGAGGAACTGAATTGTAACAAAGAGGTTCAAATCGTAGCCACTGAGGTCCTGTCTTGTCTTTTGTCTGAGTTAATTACCATCATGAAGGAGAGTGGGAAGAGTCTTATGTCATACATCAAAGACCTACTGGGTAGATGTAAACTTCAGAAAGCTATTCTATACTCTTGTCTGGCCTCTGTCTATAACTGCAGAAAGAAGAGTGCCGGTGGGAGTTCATCTAATATCACAGAAGCCATTATTCAATTTAACGAGGAGAATCTTGACCCATCTTCCAATGAAACATTCCAAATAAAGTTACTCAGTTTGCTACTGGTAATGATTATGCTAGAACACAATGCCCAGAAAACCCAAAGTGAAAGTGAAAATACTGCTCCACAACCCCAGGAGTGGGAAAAACAAAAAGTGAATTTTCACCAATCACTGATGAATGTTAAATTCACTGTTGGACAGCCTGTAGTTCAGCAACAAATGTTGCTTTCATGTGTTCTCAGTGCCTTAAAACAGCAACATATGGCTCACATGCACAGACACTGGGTGGCTATGGTAACCTCCAGTCTGCCCTATATGGGTAAATCCTTGTGCAGTATTGTGCTGACTGTGACATCACAGCTGTGTAGGAATTTAGAGATTCTGTCTGTACAGTACAGTCCTGAGGAACAGAACTCTCAGCAGAGGTAAATTTAAATGCTTACAATAAAGGATACGATTATTTTTATAAATTAAAAAAAAATATTTATAACTGGTAAGGCGAATTTGAGTACAAAATGTAGAAATTTAGAATGAAGACAAACATTCGAGAGAGCTTCTCTGATCACTTTTGTCTGTTATCTGTCGCTCTGTCCATCCAATACTTAACTTTTCACATTTTCCAAAACAGCAAGGCCATGGAAGTTGTGCTGATATTGAAAATTTCCAATGTTCAGTCAAGCACAACCCCTTGAGCAAGTAAGGGACCATATTACTGGGGCAATTTTTATGGGAATAGGGGGGGGACCTTTTAAATTTTCTCAAAAAGACAACAGGACCAAGATAACTCATGTAAGCCATGTGGCCTCTGGGCCACATGATATTGTTATTATACAGAAAAGCACCTACTGGAAAGGTTCAATATGGACATTATTTTATTTGAGGCATCTGTATCTTCTTTTTTAGTATTATTTGCAATAATACAATAATACATGTATTACATGTGTTTTATGTGACATTTGTTTAATAATTCCAATCTTCATTTTATCTATTGATTTCCTGTGTTTTGATTGGACGAGAACACGTTTAAGAAAATTTTTACACATCGATAAAATTTTCAATCTGACAGAACTACTTTCTTGACCAAGCTTCTGGGCTTTCGTATAAACAATGAAAGCAGTTAAATTTCTGTCCTGTTTTAGCTATATTATGAATACAAGAAACTTAAAATTTAATTTCATAAAATAAAACTGGCGACAAACGACTATAAACAGCTGACAGACACCATGAAAACGACGCCACTGTCGGATCACGGGTGTGAATTTCAAAAATTGCTGATGTCATATTCTCCATGTTCATAATACGAAAAAAATCAGCTGTTTGTATCGTTGTGACAGGGAAAAGAAACGTACCTCAAATTCTTGCCTTATTAGCATCAAATTCATATTTACTTTCTATATTGTTCCCCATGATCAATCTTTGAACAAACCAGTGCAAATCGAAGGCGTCGTTGGTCTGCAACTTTCGCTGTGAGAGTTGTCGTTTATGTCAACATGGCCATGGTCAAGGACGAACTGTTCTGAAGTAAACTCGTAATTACGATATTTGTTGACTTAAACAACATTCGATAAGTCTTTATAAGTTTATTTATCGATTGTTTTGACAATTTAAGCTGAACTCTATCGAAATTCATCTCGATTACGTTCCTTTGCGGTAAAATGTATTCCTACGCCGTCCAAAAATAACGGATTGTATGGAGGCCCCAAGGAGAAATAATTTAAATATTGTTAAAAATTCGATATTGGAATTATACGAATTAAACGTTCTTTTTGAAAAATTTATCGATAAATTTTTCAAAAAGAACGTTTAATCCTATAATATTCATCATTTTTAATCACTTTCTTGATATAGTTAATGAAAAGACTGATTTCGACAGAAAGTTGTATTAGAATTAAAGTTAAATAAAAATGATAAACATGTACAAAACAAGATAAATAGAAATTTTGATGAGGAAATATTTTAGATATATTAAAAATCAGTTGCAAAATCCTTAGACAAAATCTTAAAAATATCTGATCTTTGTCCAATCAGGGAGAGAAATCAAGACAGAAAAAGGAAAAGATATAGGGAAAAAAATATTATCAAAGAAATCTATTTGAAAAGTTATTTACACAGGAAGAAAAAAATACCAAAATAGTAAAATACTTCAAACTATCATGATTACTCTGATATCAATGTAATCTGGGATACAAGATGAAGAGAGATAACGAATAGGAAGAAGGGGGTTTGAAAAATCACAATAAATAAAAGATGTCAAAAACTAATAGAAAAAAATTGCTTAGGAACTAAAATCCTGAACAAAACGAAAAGTTTAGATTTACTTTATAAAATTGATGGAAAGCACTCAAATTATGGAAAGTACACAATAATATATTAGTGTGTATTTTTTTTTACATCTTTTTTTAAGTTATAAATATGTTTAGGGATAGCCAGAGTTTCTCCCTGTGGACCACATTGTAACTATCCTAACTTACAGTATTTCATGTTTTAGTGATGTCCAGAGTTATCTCCCCGTGGACCACATTGTAACTATCCTGGAGGGACTGACTACCCTGTGTCACTACTGTCTGCTGGACAATGTGGCTCCTGTGTCTGTAGGGCTACAGTCCCCCTCCAGCACCACCGTCACCATGGAGAGCAGCAGTGCGGGGCAGATCCTGAACAATCTGATCAGTGTCTTCAACCCTTCCCCAAACAGCAGGGTAAGATGGAGGAATATTTGTATGAACTGAGAGCAATTGAAGGGTACATGTTTTATGAAGAATTAGTTGAGTGGCGTTTGATACAATTAACCAAGAAATGTGATATGAATTTTTAGATTAAATCACATGGTTTTGATTTCAAAACTACTTATGACTTGCCTACCCAAAGAAATGTTTAAACTTGAGATAATTTTTTTCTGTAGAATCAGTAAGGTTGTTGGTGCATGAAGCAAGTAACATGTATAATGTACTTAATATGATTATTCTGGTAATGAGGACTACCAAATCTCTTTACAGGAGGTAAGCCCAGCCCGTGATTTGTCCCCGGCTCCGGTGAGGGAGGCTCGTAACGGTCTACTGAGTATCATGCCGCGTATCATTGCCTGTATGGCCTCACTATGGAGAGCTGTCAATGTGGACGAGGACTCAAGCAAAGTACAGGAGAGTAACACATGGATCATGGGGAGACCAAAGGTTAGTTTTCTCTATCATTTTTCCTTATTCTCTTTTTCTCTCTCTCACTCTTTCTCTCTCTATATATATATTTCTCTCTCTCTCTCTCTGTATCTTTCTTTCTCTCCCTTAAGTTTAGGATAAGGGCCAAATGATGAGAACATCCTTGCGCACAAAGTATTGAGTAGCTATGGTAACTTGTTATCATGGTAACTCAATGTGGCGATAACTAAGGGAAACTTAGAAATTATCATGTGGATAATTTCTGGGTATCTGATTGGCCCCATTTTATTTTCCTTAAACAATACTCTTTAATCAATAAATGTAGATAAAAAGGAAAGTGATATAAAAATCTCCAGAACAAGAAAACTTACACTAAACTTTCAAATATATTCTGTAGCCTTAAATGTTGCTCACAGAATACTTTCTGTGTCATATTTCAGGTAATTCGACAGTGTGTGCTGAATTTCTTGAGCCCGCTTTCTTTACCCCATGGGGCTCACCTTCTGGGGGCTGTGGGTGTGGCTTGGAATGATCGTCGGAAGAAAGGGTCACCTTCAAACAAGAAGGTACACAAGAGAATCTCTCTATTACATGTAAACCTATAACTTAAAAAACAATGTATGGTAATGTTCATTATACTGAAAAATATTGCTAATGTGATCTCAAAAATGGCCGATTTATTCTAATTAAAGATTTTCTCTTTTAACAGAGCACTGCTTGTGAGGATCAGCTCTTGTTGGTGGACTTGATAAGTGCAATAAAAGTTCTACCTACTGACACACTGGTACAGACAATAAACAAAGTGTTAAGACAACCACCACAAACTGAGATTAGCAAAAGCAAGGTATATGACTGTATAATATAAAACAGAGTGCAATTTTTTCTGAGTCTCCTCATGTGTCAAAGTCTTAATGTTGACCTATTTTATCTCCTTTTACAGAAGAGTATTCCTTTGGAGGTGAACATGCTGCAGTTCTTTTATTCCTATGTACAGCAGACTCCGGTGACCCAGTTAATGGACTCCTGGGGGTTTCTACTGACTTTATTGAGGGACGGGATGCAGCTTAACCTGTCCCCTCCTGGAAAATTTCTCTTATTACAGTGAGTACCTCTTATCATTCCAATTGTTAGTTCACTGTTCACTGTGCTTGTTATAACCAACTCTTCAATAGTCTACGTTCGGATTAACAAGAGTTATTTCCCTTTGCAGATCCATGAAACCTGCATAAGACACTGATTTCTCTCTATAGCATTTCCATCTTAATGGGGCCATTATCTAACGTAAATGTTTATAATGGCCGTTTCTTTGTTAGACCATTATGCTGTGTTATGGTAATATAGGAATGATATAAAACTGCCAAAAAGTGTTTAGGGGTTTTAATGATTTACATCCTGTGTACAAAGGATATAGTAAGAAAAATTTAGTAATGCAAAAAAAAAAAAAAGTAAATTTCAGAACTTGAAAATTTATCGTATGAAAATTGAAAACGAGAATTCAAATAATACAAGCCTGTATTGATTTTCCTGATCAGGATCCTATGTGAGTTTGTACAGAAGATCCCTCAGATAGAGGAGAAAAAGAACCAGAAGGAGTTACAGGAGCTGGCCCAGCGTCTCCTGGAGATGATCGGACTCATCGCGGGGTCTTCACTGGAGCAGACGACGTGGCTCAGGAGAAATCTGGCAGTCAAACATACACAGCAGATAGCAGGATCAGAGATTGATGACGAGTCAGGTATAATAATAATCTGTCTAATTTTTTTTTACATGTGTGAAACATAATTTTGTGGGTAACTTGCAGTATAAACAAAAGATTCAATGAATAAATATGTTAGCAAAATAATTCTTCATGGGAGACAAAGTGATGAATATGATTGTAATCTTGTGTGTTACAGAGACAGACCAGGAGATGATAGAGAGAAAGGTGGCAGATCCTAAACAGATCAGTGTCCTGGATTCTAAATATAGTGTACAGGCCTTGACCCTGCTGGCAGAGGTCAGTTACATGGAACAATATTTATAATATAAATTCATTGTCAGTTTCTGTCTTTACCATAAACCCTTCTTCACATTTACTCTCTGGCAATATGATTTGTGTACATATCAAAAGATTTCTTAAGTTATTTTTGACATATACTACAGGTGACGGCCCCTTTGTTGGATGTTATTTATAGCAGTGATGAAAAGGACAAAGTAGCACCTTTCTTGTCCACCATATTGTACAATGTCTTCCCATATCTCAGGAATCACAGGTAATGAAGCAGGATTCTGCAGCCTTGTTTCTTATGATTAATGATGCTTTAAAATCTGAATGTGCCAGTTATGCAGCATTATTTTATGAAGAATGAGGAAGGTTGAAGATGCTGAATTTTAAAGCTGCACACATTATGAGATGAAGGTCAGGAAAATGGGCCTAATGACTTGACCTTTAGTTCATTTTGTACCTTTATATTGGTATTTGTGACATTCTAAATTTCTCTTTTCCATCTAATTTACCAAATGATATCACAGATGTTTTTCTGATAAATGTGAAAATAAATGTTATATTTACATCCAGTTACTATTTACTTTAACAACATAACAGATTTTTTTTTTTAAAATGTAACCTAGCTTTCATAGGATTATTTTGGTTCCAGTTTTGTAATGAATTTATTTATCATGTATAAGTACATTCCTTTCAGTATACCCAACATTCCCAGTTTCCGGGCCTGTTCCCAGATCCTGTCTTCAGTCAGCGGGTACCAGTACACACGGAAAGCCTGGAGGAAGGAGGCGTTCGAGCTCCTGATGGAGCCCTGCTTCTTCCAGATGGATGTCCGATGTATTGGGTACTGGCGGTCAGTCGTGGACAACCTGATGACCCACGATAAAACAACATTTAAAGATCTCATGAGTGAGTGATTGTTTGGTGTGGTATCCAGATATGTGTTTGTGCTCTTTAGTGCTAGAGTGTTGAAGGGGTCTCTAGATGCTACAAGTAGAGATTTAGAAAGCAGACACATAAGCATCTTATAGAATTTTTTTGCAGAAAACTCAAAAGATCCATATAAATGTGCCCATCTGTATCTTTCATACTAAGACATAAATTTTAAAGTAAATCATTCTTCTGACATATATGCAATTTTATATTTAATAATAATAATGAAAATGGACTTCTTAACACAACTGTTGCATTGCTGAAAATTTGAATAAAAGACAAATTTACTATAAGGAAACAGTTTTTTAGAATGCTGATACATTATTTACACAATAAAAAAAAAGTCATATCGATCATTTATCAAAATGTATAACTTTGGTAAATTAGATACATTGTAAGTTACCTATAGCTGTTATATTTCTGCTACCTCCATGTCAGATAGCATAGCTTTAGTCTTAGTGATCCATAGTAAACGTACTCATTTAATGCAAATTTTTTATAGAAATGATTTCTGATGGAGGCCAGATATTTCCAAAATTGATTGGTATTTTGATTTGCATTCTGCTTTTCAATATGCAACTTTGCTTGTTCTTGTTTCTTGTTTTTTTTTTCTTAATGAAAAAGTTGTTTAATTTCCCAAATCTAAAAAAAAATCAACAGTTCATTTTTATAAATCCATATATGTGTCTGTTCAAAACTTTTAATTGGAGACTTCATGAAAAGGTTAGGGTAGCATTTTCTTAAAATTTATATAAATCATTATCAGAGATTTCATAAAAAGTTTGAAATTCAGAAACAAAGTGTTAGTAAGGTCAAAGTCAAGGTATAACAGTCTAATTATACAACTTTTTCACTGTTGAATTTCATGTTTCTTGGTCTTCATGTTTCATTTTATTTAAGTTTCCTCAATATGTAAAGTAAAGCAATGATTACTCTTAAAGGCATGCATGGCAGCTTTGCCAAGAAGGTATAACAAAAAATTATAAAGATTATGGTATTATAGCCCTTTTCTCTGCAGCTAAAATACATTATCTCTAAGAGTATTTTCAATTTATAACTGGTTACATCTTGTAATCAGTGATTCAGTATGTTGCATTAAAAGCAAAGTTAACAGTTAATTTATAAAATTTAAAATAAACCTGTTCCCTGAATACTGTTTTCATTGGACATTAAAAATCTCAGAAAAGGTTATTAAACATCTTAAAAGTAGGTTTCAAAGCTCCTGTTAGATTTATATGGTCGGTCACAAGGTGTATTTGGAGCCAGACAAATATTAGGTCTCGTAATGACAAAATTCTTTAAACATACAGTGCATGTTTTGATTAATTTTCTGTAGAGATCTCACATTATAGATAACCTTATTTTAAATACAGAATCTGTAAGATTTGTCATTTTGGAATCAAATATGGTGCCAACACATACTTCTTTCATGTGATGGATGGATCTGCCAAGTTCTGCTCATTTTGTTTGGAAATTAGGAAGGTAACTGTTTGGTTCCTGGTAGATTTGGTTCATTATTGTGTACACCAGATCACACAAGGTGCCAAAGAATTCCCACCTTTTTGAGGTTGTCTGTCTTTTTTATATTTTGAAGAGATGGATTTTCCTTGGAATAAAATGATACAGCTAGGACAATATCAGCTTGTACACATTCTGTGCCAAAAAATATCTTCTCTGAATTTTATGTAGTGGACTTGTTTGAAATTTCCTTTGGTTTGAAAGGGTTATAAGGAAATTGATTGGGACAAAACAGTACATGCCATTATACCAAAGCTTGTACACATTTTGTGCCAAAGAATTTTCCCCAGCTATGTAACAAGCTAGGCTCATTGTTGAAAATTCTTCCAAGAAGCTGACAGGATCAAAAGGATACAGCTTTGCCATTTTGAGCTTGTACACATTCTTTGCCAAAGGAATAATGTAAAAATTTTTTTTTACAAATTTTAAGCTGTGAAGTTGGGTGTTATATAAATATACACGTCTTTGTCATCAAATAGTCTTGATGTTGAGAGGATTTAATCAAGACACATATGGTGCCAAAAACATGCATAGATTATTAGTTTTTATCCCAGTAGTCATATTTAGAGGTTGTTTCAAGGTGGTTGACTTGCAGGTTTCTATGACACTTGACAGTCTTGAACATTCTGTCTCGTATCAATGCAACTGCCTAATTTAATCATCCATTGCTGAATGTTGATATTCTACTTTGAATTAGTGACTTGAGCATGGGAATTAGGAAGCATTCTAGAGACATTGTATTTGGAACAGTATGGTCAAGCCATTAAACTTTGACTGGACACACATTGTGCCAAAGCTAATGCCTAGTCTCAGTATTCTGACAGTCTGAAATAAATATCCAAGCTTTATCTCAACTCATAAAAGTACTTTGTGGATTATGTTTGTCTAAAATGGATGGCTTAAAAGGAACTTTACAAAACTGTGTTAGACCATACATTGAACTACGTTAGGTTAGATATACCAATATATCAATTAGTGATTTACAGGTTTAGATAATTACAGATCAGTTTCTTGAATCTAGAGTGGTAGGGTTGATGTTATTCAAACACATCTTTGGCATCAGTTGGTCTTGATATTCATAGAAATCAATGAACACATGGTGCCAAAAACTTGCAAAAACTTAATTTCAGCTCCAGATTCTCACTGGTGTCAGCCCATATCATAATGTACAATTGACCTGCAGATATCACGACACACAATGGCCTGGGACTTTTCAAGTTCCAGACACACACTGTGCCAAAGCAACTGTCAGGCAGATATTTTATTTCTTACCAACATATATCAATTTTGTATTTCAAAAGTGCTCCATCATTTGTCAGATATTATCAAGAAATTTGGCAGAATTATACAAAAAGGTATTTGGAACAGTAAGGGCCAGTCATTAAAGCATTATGAATGGACACTTATTGTGCCAAATAACCAGTAGTATAATAATCAGATGAAAATTTTACATTACATATACAATGTAGATATATTTTTGAATCATATTCTACAAACATTGCATTTGGAACAGAATGGTTCAGACTTTTAAAAGTTGTCTGGACACATATTGTGCCAAATATTCTATTTGTTTTATCAGCTTTAAATATTTTATTTATAAAACTGCGGTCTCAGCAAATATTGCTGTTTTTATTAATGTGAGTACCTAACTGTATTAACAACCTGAAAAATTCCCTAACGGTATTTATCATTGATCATGTAACTTCATTCTTTTTTTTCCAAAATTTTTATCCCCAAAAAGTACTAATCTAATTCATTCTCAATCAAAATGATATAAAAAAAAATTTCAAATAAAAACAATTTTCACTTTGAATTCAACTACATGTATTTGGCATGTTGCTAAGCCTTCTAATTTACAGTTGAATTAAATATTTGAATGGTAATTACCTCCCTTTTCTTCCTGTTCCTTATTTTTTTATCTGTAAGGAATGACTTCTGTGAGGAATCTGTAACTGTGTCCCATTATTTATACCCTGACCCTCAGAGTACTGGGGGTGATGACTTGAAGTACATCTTCTCCTTTACCTCATTAGTAAAGTGTCAGGTAATTTACAATCTCAACACCCTCATCAGGGCTAGTAACAGTTAGTAATTAAAGGTGTGTGAAGTAATTAAGGTATTTACACATTATATAACTATGTGATTAGTATAACTGTATTATGCATTAATTATTCTGCATTTTATATAAGTTAATTTATAATTTTATATAAGTTAATTTATAATTTTAAATAAGTTCATTTATAATTTTGATAATTAGAAAAAAAAATTGAGCAGTAGGTTGAAAAAATATGTGTAGAAAAAATATTTGATTTTGTTTAATTTTCTTAAAGTTGGATTTTAATTTCTATTTTTCCTAAATCATATGTAAGAAATACAACCCATGGGTTACACTTTTAAAAAGAAATACATTTATACAGTGCATTAATATTTACAAGCTAGCTTTAAAAAAATGTCAACATATCTTATAGAAGTAAAATATCAATTTGAAAGCTATGATAACTACATTGTATTAACTGAAGACACTTCTCAATATGACTTGATATGTTTATTAACTAATTCCTTCTGTTGCAGGTCGAGTAACATTCAACCAGTCTGGTTCACTGAACCTGTTCAGTTCTAAGGAGCAGGAATTAGAACAGCGAGCTCAGATGTTAAAGAGGCTGGCCTTCACTATCTTCTGTAGTGAGCCTGACCAGTATCAGAAATCCATGCCAGACATACAAGGTACTTCTCCATAAGTCTGCCCTCCCACCACCACCACAACCCCCATCCAACCTCCAAGAATTCTTGTACAGAATATAATTTGTTTAAAAACAGCACTTTAAAACTCTCTGAAAATTGTTTTGCATCATTGACTAGTTCAATACAACCAACTAACACCCTTATATGCCACACTCTGTGACTTTCTTTGGAGTATTTTGTGTGAATGTTTTTCAGAGCGTTTGGCGGAGTCCCTGCGGGTGCCTCACCAGGCCCCCTCCATTATGGCCCAGGTGTTCCTGTGTGTCAGGGTCCTGATTCTGAGGATGTCCTCCCACCAGCTGACCTCCCTGTGGCCCACGGTCATCACCGAGATGGTCTGTCTGTCTGTCATTTATACATTCATTTCTTTTTACTTAACTTCAACTGAAGATTAACAATAGTCATGTATTTAAATTAAAATCAGAAACACTTTAAAAATGTAGTCATTTATAAATATAAATCACAATTGATTATGAAAATGAAGGACAAAAAATTCAATTAAGGTTTTGAAATTATCTTTTAAGTAAGCATATTTTTAATTAAATACTGAATGTTTTGTAGGTTCATGTCTTCATGCAGATAGAGCAGGAACTGTCAAATGATACAGATGAATTTAAGTGAGTTTTCTCCCTTGTATTTTTGCTTGCATGATGTCGCTTTATTGGAAAAATATTAATCAGAAAAAATACAGAGGGAAAAAATTCCTGCATAATGGTCTTTGTCAAAGCACATGGAATGATTCCAACTATCCTCTCTCTTATGTACAACAGGAGTAGATTAAAACATCGTGAAAATAACAATTAAAAATTGGTGCAAACAGAACCTGAATTCATTTGCCCCTCCCTCTCTCTTATCAGTTCCAAAATTGATGGGAATGTTTTGGGTTTTTTTCTTTTTCTCACAGACTATACCTATGCCATATTTATACTTCTTTACAATGTGAGGATTTAGGGACTTTGTAGTGAAAAAAGTTCAGGGATTCATAAGGGGTTAAAGGTCAAAAGAACCTGGATGACTTCTTTTTAACTTAAAAAAAAAACGATGAAAAGATGACAGGAAATTCAAAAATGAGTGGGGGCACTGTGTTTCACAGATTATCATAATAGGATAGTGTCAAATATTTTAAATCTGTTTTCCCTATTTCCTTTAAGCAGTATGGAGTAAGTATTGCCATGACCTTTCACCTATATGAATCAATCTTTTAATATTGCTGTGATTCTTGCTAATCCATGGCAAACTTCCTGCTTATTGAACCTGCTGTAAAATATCTTTAGTCTCTTGTAATTCTATTTTTAAAAATCAGAAATAAAACTCAGCCATAAAAAAATTCAAGCCTTCGTAGGCCTTATGAATGAATGAATTTAACATAACATGAATTCACTTGTAATATTTATAAGAGACATTTTTAATGGAATGAAAATTTTTAACAAAGTTTTAACTGCATGCATGATCAGTGAATTATAAAGACACATAATGTATGTGACAAACTAGCACATTGATAAATGGTCACATAATTATGATTTTCACCAGATTTTTGTCACCATGTTGAATGCTTGTTTGTCTTTCTGGCAGCGTGTTTTTACGCAGCAAGAGCAGGTACGGTATTACAAGGACATCACTTTGTCTGTCTGTTTGTTGTATGCACTGCAACCTTTTTACAGACCCCAACGTTGATATCATTTGTTTTCAAATTGTAAACCATCATTTTTTTGGTAAGAAATAAGTTCCTTGCTTGTTTCAATCTTTTCGTTCCGTATTTTTCACAGTCGAATTTCATGTTTTTTAAATTGTTGCCCATTTAAATTTCTTTTGTTCATAGTTTTTATTTACAAAGTATTTTCAAAGATTAAAAAAACTTGATAATTATTGATAGAGGTGACAACATTATTCAAAGATTCAATTTTACTTTATTGAAAAAATAAATTAAAATCATACCAGTATTTAACAACACCCATTCACATAATTATCAAACTGAATATATCCACTTACTTCATAAGGTGCCACCAATGTAAATTTTAGACCCTAATTTTTCCTACACATCTCTATCATGAATGACTTCTAGACAGCAATCTCTTCATACCTGCATTTAATTTCTGCATTTTGGATTTTGTGTGATGTAATAAAGATTAACAAGTATGAAATCTAGAAGGCTGAGATCTTTATTAATAATTGATATTTATTGAAAAAATTAATCATCCAAGATTAACAAATCAGATAAGCTTAGTATAAAAATTTAGATGCTTGACTCTAAACATTTCTAAAACTTTTGACAGAAATATTAGTTTATTGCTGTTTTTTTTTAAGTGTGAGTTTTAGTTATAGCTCAGTGATAAATCTTGTAAATATGTAATGATGTTTTTAGTTACCATGCAGTAATTCAGTGGTGCTTCTTGAGTGGTTTGTAATAGTAGAGTTATACACTGTTTGTAGGTATATAGTGATTGATAATCTCACAGTGGAAATGGTTGTCGTCTTAATATATATATTTTGTAATTGTGATATACTTCATTTGATAAGACATATGAATTTTAAAAGTTATTTATCCATAAATTCGCAAAATTTTGATCATGTTAAGGATCTTAAACTTTTAACTATAAAACAATTGTTAATTAATAGAAACACTTTAGGACAGGTTACAATATATTTTAGATAATAATTTTTAAGTTAATATAATAAAAAAAAATGTAATTTGTATTTTTGAATAACTTAAGATGTTGCATCTGAACAATGTAGATAAGTTAAGATTAATGCTGCAGGATGCATGTGACATATGGATACTTCATATACATATTTATATCATTTATAACTGTTGATCCTACAGGACTCAGATTGCTAGGATCGCAGCCCTGGACTCGAGCTGGGCTCACCTCGGGAACGGATTGAATGCCCACAACAACCCTGCCTGGCTACAGCTGTATCTGAGTGTGTGTAAACTACTGGACCTGGCCCTAGCTCTCCCAGCAGATGTAGTCCCACAGTTCCAACTGTACGTCCTTAAACTGTAGTTAGAAATATGACTAGGTCATGAAAACAAAAAACTTTGATATATATTTTGGATCATTTTCAAGTGCAAAACTATAAGGTCCAAGAGATTTGGTTACCAAAATGAATTGATGAAAAATTGTTATTTGTTTTACAATCATATCTTTTTCCACATTTTGAGTTTTTAAATGACATATCTTGGTTGCATTTGGGTTCTTAATAACATTTTAAATGTGTTGACTTAAGAGAAAAGCTTTAACTTTTCATCACAAAAAATTTTAAATAACAAAAAAGGAGCTACCAGATACTACAGTAATTAATGTAAAATTCTGAAAATATAGCATGATAATCTGTTTTTCAGTTACATTAGTATTCATACAGATAGATCTTTAACTTTCAGTTACCGCTGGGCCTTCATCGGTGGGGTCGCTGCTGGGAATGATAATGGCGACAGTGATGGGGATGAGGAAGAGGAGCAGAAAGAGGAGAAAAAGAAGAAAAAAAAAAGGAGACCCAAGTTTGTCCCCCACATCATCCGCCTCACCAAGCTGATTAATGACAGGGTCAGTGGCGGGTCAAATTTTGTTCAATTATAATTCCTGTAGTTAAATGGGCATGTGTTGCACATATCACAGAACAATTATGAATGAATGCAATTATTTTTCACATATAAATCCTCACATGATACAAATGAGAGGGTCAAATATGTTATATATGCTTTGCTAAATCAATTTTCAAATCATATTGCAGCTATAAGCACTGATATTAAATCATATCTACATTGTAAATATATAGGATGCCAATATATGTTCTGATTTTATTTAGGTTGGAGGAGCTACCCCCATTATGAAGCAAACTCAAGGGAGACCACTTCTGACTCAGTCCTACTTGAAATCCCTGACAGAGTTACAGCCCTTCTTTAACACCCTCTGTCATTCTGGAGCCTCCGAGAGTGAATACACAATGGCAGGCAAGAAATCCAGCAAACAGGTGACCCATAATGGTGTAGATCAAGGTCATAAGAAGGGGATTCCCAAGTCAAAGTCTACTCCTGCCAAAATGGATAAACTCCAGCGGTCAGACGTCCAGCTGACCCAGCAGCAGAGAAGTAACAGACAGATTATAGAGGAACTCGTGGAGAGGGATTTCCTGGAGCCCTGCCCTCTACGCTAGGTCAAAGTCATGCTGCAGGGGTCACATGGAAGAAGCTGGTCCCCTTGACCAGTCAAAGAGAGGCAAGGGTATGAGGGACAGAGAGGATTTATCATGAACATTTCCCAGTGTGCTAAATGAAGGGCTGAGCAAAGGATGTTGGGAGGGGTTGGTGGGAGAGGAGTTGAAGAACAATACTTCCAATGTTAAAATTTTTTTTGGTTCTGTGAATCATGAATAAAAATTTAGACACTAGTGAATTTAAATGTTCTCGGTGAAGGAACATGATAAAATTACTATAAATGGAAATAATAGCTTTACAGTGCTTGTCATGGTGAAATAAATTCACTTTGCTATTTAGATTTGAACTCCATTAAATAAAGCTTTCTCTGTTTTGAAAACTATTTTTTTTTTAAACAAAACTATATTGAGTAATGAAAAGTTTATTTCATTTACATGTGCATGTTCAGCTTTACGTCTAGTCATTTTATGTTATGTGCAATTTATTGTTTAAAGCTTTATTTCTTTTAAAATTTTGCATGTTTTCATGCTTTGAGGATGACAAGTTCAACTCTGCATGTCTAAGGATTTTTGATTTTGTGAAATTGATTTACAATTATGTTGTTGCAGACTTATTTGATTTGCTTATACACATAGTTCCATTTAAAATAAACAAAATCTTATTTTATTTCTAAAAATTCCAAATGAATTGATTGTGTTTGTTTACAAGTGTGATTATATAAAATATTTGTGTTCATAAATATCCCATTACTGTTTCTGTAATATATTGTGATAAAAAGTTCTATTGTAATGTTACAAAACTTTGTGCTAAAAAGGTATAGACCTTAGATAAGTTGTATATTATTGTTATTGATAAGTTATATCTTATTTGGATGCATAAGGAATTAATTTAATATAACATATTTCGTACCCACTTGATTCCTATAAAACAGGGTTCGACACTAACGCTAGCCCGCTGGCCCGGGCCGGGACAACTGAATATTGAGGTCGGGCTACCAAACATGTCTTTAAACTTGCCCTGCAGGGCTACTTTTTACCAATTTCACTAAGGATACCTGATAATAGTTAAATTTATTTTCATATGTTTTATCAACATAATTATAATTTTTTAAGGGTGAATTAATGATATAAATATAGAAATTTTCAATATAACATATAATACCACCCAAAATTCAGCCAGAATATTTAGTACTCACTTGATTCCTATAAAAGGCTTATTTTTTATCAAAATATAACTTAGTTGCATGCATATCAAAATGTCATTTGTGATATTTGGTTTGGAACTGTATGTTTTTTGTTTGTGATGAACATTGGAAATCTGTTTACTTTTGGTTTTGATGAACATTTAATTTTCAGCTTTATTTCCACAGGATTATTTCAGTTTCTTTGTCTCTTCTTCAGAATACAAGTATAGGAAATGTATCTCTCATTTTATAAATTGATGAGAAGTTTAAGAAATCATGTGCCATATGGGTATCCTTGAAAGTTGAAAGTATCATTTTATATGCTTTAAACAATTTTTTTAAGGGTCAAGATAAATCAAATTGAGATCCATTTTTGCAGTAAATACTGTATAAGTAGAATTTTCAGCGAGATGCAAATTTGATTTTTGCTTTTAAAAAAATTGGTATTATAATTTTAATGAGAAGTAATTTATACAATTTTGTGATGCCTTAAAAGATAACTTTCAGAAACAAAAGTGGAATAAATTTTTAGTGACATTTCAACAGTCAACATCCTCATCAAAAAATGCCAGAATTAAATCCTTCCTAAAATTTTTGCTTTTAAGGTAGATTGGATAGAAGTGATTTTGGCTACATTGTTATTATTTTGTTTTATGAATTGCTACTTCTCAGTTGTTTAATTTTTGCAATCAGCAGGAATGCTTATTTTCATCAAATCTGCTCTATAAGTTCTTGATATCAAAACCTGTGGTCAATTCTACAAAATCATATGTTTATTATTGTATTATTTCAGCATAATACATGTATGTATATGAAATTTCACTAAATTACATTTCAAGAAGTGAGTACATTTATAATTGTTAAATCCTCTTTGTGTATCCCTGTTTATTAAAAAAAAATCCGTTTTTCGTTATTAATTATGATTCAGGTGAATCTTGATCTATTAAATTTCAGACTTGGTAGCGTATATTGTTAGCTGTGATACTTAATTGTTTCTCAATAAACCATGCTGAAAAATGAAGATTATTATTATGAAGCAGCTTTCTAGAGGTATAAAAATATTGGAGTTTAGGTGGATTGCCTCATTTAAAGTATAAGTAGAAAATAGATAAGAATCAGAAATCAAAAGAAGGCAATTTCTATTGTCTTTTAAAATGACAACGAGAATATTAATCAATGTTGCTCTTGTGTAATTTGTCACCAAAAAAAAAAAATTTCGAGCTTGCCAGGATTCGAACCTGGAATCTTCTGATCCGTAGTCAGACGCGTTATCCATTGCGCCACAAGCCCTTGTAGGTACGTGGGTGTTTAAATACTGATATACCAATTGTGTTTTATTTCTTTGAATAAAAAGATTTTTATATAAAATTCAGTTATAACTTTAAACTATTTTTGATGAGTATTCTTTTCTTTATATAAGATTAAACTGTCTTTCCATTGATTTGACCCAGTCACAGTCTAAACCGTTCACGAGCGTTGTTTGTTTTCGTAGTGTGGCGCGGATCTTAAAAATTAAACTGACGGCCAATTAAGAAAAAAATGTCCTGCGTGTATATGTCATAGTTAGATGTATAGATATTTGAATAACTCAGTTTAATGTTGATATTTGAAAAGTTCAGAAAGGTGTAAAGCGAGTAGACCTTGATATATCTAAGGAAATGTCGATCTGATCCAAGGTATGCATGGCGGATCCAATTGTTACAAAGTATACAAAGATGTGGATCTCTCTTAATGTTGGGGGGAAATATACGTACATAAATCATACTGTATCTTTAAATCAATTTCTTCCTATCGTAAACTATAGTTATATATTAATGCCTTTGGGAGGAAGGGTTGGGGAGGGGGAGGGGGTAATATATTTTGTCAGTATAGAAAACATTGACTTTCTTCAGCATGTTCAGAGACATAAATAACATCTTTTACCTGTAGGCCAAAGCACATATTAGAAATAAGAGTAAACTTTTATATAATCAAATGCAGAATATCGAAATCCTGATGAGGATCATTCTAAAGGGGGGGGGGTATTATTAAGAAGAGTCTGAGAAAAGTCGTTATTTAACACAAAGATTAGTCATATGAATATGCCAAAGTAAACAAATACAATTTTGTTCAATTCATAAAAGAAGTAGCCTAGCTAAGTTTACAATATACAGAGCCAAAATTTTACAGTGAAAAATAATAATTCTTTTTGTTGATTCAAATTTGTTTAAATCTTGGGAGTCAGGATAAGGCCCGCCAGTGGACAATATTTTCTGGATCAAAGTTTAACCTGGGAATATAAGAAATCAATAAAAACAATAGGGGCATTATGACTTTTATTAATATATGCAAACATTATTCAGTTCTTAAAGGAGTGGAAAAGGTTTGGCCAAATTTTTAAATAAAATTTCATAATAATAAGAAAAATAAACCAGAAGTCTCTGTCGAGACTGAAGCTCTACTGGTTTGAACTTATAGCAAAGGAAAAGAAAAGTACTTATATAAAATTTTACAGCAATTAGAATAATAATCGTTGATAAAGTCTCTTTATGTTCTTAGTGTAGTCTACTTGTGTGCCAAGTTATATTGAAATCAGACCAAAACATACCTGTCAACATTGCCAAAATTTTTCGGGGGAGAAAACGCGCGACGACCTTTTGCAAATACAAAAAGTCGCGCATTTTACTGTTTAATAGAAAAAAATAAACAACTTACAAGATAAAACTTTATTATTAATATTAACATTATCAATAATTCATAAAATTTACTGTTTATTCATACATTGTTTAGAAACTTGTGCAATGTGATTTAATTTTGAAATCATAAAAATTTATGTTCACTATACATGCTATATATTCTGTCTGTCCATAAAACCATCATTTATATAATATTCATGGCAAGTGTCATAGTTCAACTTGGCAATTAGAAAAATTAATAAGGTATCTGCAGACAGTCCAAGTTTTCAGCTTTTAATAGATGGATGAATGGATTTTCTCATTAAGTCTATATGAGTTGTGTCCTGGATTTAAAGATCTGAAATTGAAATAAATGTCAAAATTTCATGCTTATATTCTTAAAATAATGTGTAATCTAGTATGAATGAAATAATTGACCCTGTATTTTTTTTCCTTTTAATCTCATAACATATATCAGAATTTTTAAATATAAAACTTTTTTAATTAGTAATGTTCTAATGTGCTAATTTTATATTTTATTCAGAAATGTATTACCCTGTTTAGCTTTAAAGAAGTCTTCTAAAGACACCGACTGTCTTGTTGCTCTGTAGTTCCAGGGGCTGTTATATGCTGATGTTGATGCAGGATTTACTAAGAGATTGAATCTCAAAATCTGTGGGGAAATCTTTCTTCATTTATGTTAGCTTCCATGAAATTGTTTCCCTCTCCTTGTTAAATTAATAATAGAGTACTGTAGTTACACCTTTCCAGATCACTGTATTGTTTATGTTGTAATAGTTTTGTCTTAGACACTTGTAAACTTATTTGCAGCAAAGTATCAAGTACTTCCATATCGTTATTTACCGTCATGTTCTGTAAAAATTTTCACATCTGGCATCTCTGTCTTTGATAATTTACACTTTTAATGAGAACAAGGAGCAATTACAACTGCAATTACATCTGCTAGCACAGTTGACACCTTGTTGATTACCTGTTATCAGTGGCAATAAACAGATTAGCTATCGGTAAACACTGCATGTCCTCCATTTTTGTGTTGACTAATCGGTATTTTACGAACCCAAGTAGGTAAAAAATACAATTTTTTCAAAATCGGTAGAAACGGCAGTTTAAAAAAAAATCGGTAGACAGTCGGTGGGGATGCTTAAAAATCGGTAGACTCCCGATAAATTCGGGAGAGTTGACAGGTATGCCAAAACTGTAGGAGGAGTAGCATTTTGAAACAATTTTACAGTCATTTCTATTTTTAGTAACCACGGCAACACCATTCATCAATATTAAAATTAAAATTCGATAACACAGAATTATGTATCTTAGTGTAGTCTACTTGTGTGCCGAGTTATACTGAAATCAGACCAAAACTGTAGGAGGGGTAGCATTTTGAAACAATTTTACAGATATTTCTATTTTTAGTAACCACGGCAACACCGTTCATTGAAATCAAAAACCAATATACAGAATTATGTATCTTAGTGTAGTCTACTTGTGTGCCAATAATATGAAATCAGACCAAAACTGTAGGAGGAGTAGCATTTTGAAAGAATTTCACAGAAATTTCTATTTTTAGTAACCACGGCAACACCGTTCATCGAAATCAAAAACCGATACACAGAATTATGTATCTTAGTGTATTCTACTTGTGTGCCAAGTTATACTGAAATCAGACCAAAACTGTAGGAGGAGTAGCATTTTGAAAGAATTTCACAGAAATTTCTATTTTTAGTAACCACGGCAACACCGTTCATCGAAATCAGAAACCAATACACAGAATTATGTATCTTAGTGTATTCTACTTGTGTGCCAAGTTATACTGAAATCAGACCAAAACTGTAGGAGGAGTAGCATTTTGAAAGAATTTCACAGAAATTTCTATTTTTAGTAACCACGGCAACACCGTTCATCGAAATCAAAAACCAATATACAGAATTATGTATCTTAGTGTATTCTACTTGTGTGCCAAGTTATACTGAAATCAGACCAAAACTGTAGGAGGAGTAGCATTTTGAAACAATTTTACAGATATTTCTATTTTTAGTAACCATGGCAACACCATTCATCGAAATCAAAAACCAATACACAGAATTATGTATCTTAGTGTAGTTTACTTGTGTGCCAAGTTATACTGAAATCAGACCAAAACTGTAGGAGGAGAAGCGTTTTGAAAGAATTTCACAGAAATTTCATTTTTTAGTAACCACGGCAACACCGTTCATCGAACTCAAAAACCGATACACAGAATTATGTATCTTAGTGTAGTCTACTTGTGTGCCAAGTTATACTGAAATTAGACCAAAACTGTAGGAGGAGTAGCATTTTGAAAAATTGTTTACAGACAGACGGACAGACAGACAGACGGCCGGACGCCGGACGCATTACTATCGCATAAGCTCTTCTGGTCTCTGACCAGTAGAGCTAAAAATTAAAGTCTTAAATTCTTTGCAAGAGGAGCTCACCAAGATCTCTCAAGTTTATCACTTGAATTGCAGATCTTTATATTATAGATTGCATGTCTGAAATAAAATAATTGGGTTGGATTTCACATCTGAAAAAATATAAAGAGGTGCTTACTTTAAAGGAATGAAATAAAGTCATTAAAGATACGCAAATCATATCTATTCCCCATTTTCTATTGCATCAACAAAATGTTCTGAATGACCAGATGCAGATCCTATTTCCGAGTAATTGTACATATGAGCCCTATGATGACCAAACTTTCATGGATGATACATCTGTAAGGATGCACATAACAGGCTTGCAATTGTAGATTTTCCAGATTAGTGATCTTTTAATATGGGGCTTTGCCTTACTTAAAAACAAACATTTGTTGAGGTGAGCTCTGTAATCTCTGATTTGTTATGTTTGACCTTTTGATGCAACCTTACAGAGTTTGGCCCACTTTATAAAACACTTTAACCTTATAGCCATAACTTTTGAACAGTAAGCACTTTTGTCTAGTGCCTTCCTATTTCACAGGTGTATTCCTTATGGTAAGTCCTTCCTTTGGATACCAACAATTTTGACCTTGACCTTTGGAGTTTGACTTGCATTTGAATTTTCTAGAAATGCAATTGCATTGAATCTGCAAATGTTATGTGATACATGCACTACATTGCTTTTTTTAAATAAATTGCAAAATTCTTGTGTTCTAGATAACAAGATTTGACTGCATTCAATTTTGTTACAATGTTAGATCTTTCAGTTTCATAGCAGACCTCACATACCAGTGGTAGAAAAAAAAAAGATTAAAAAAAAACAAACTTTAAAACATTGGTTTTGCAAATCTTTAAAAAAAAAATCTGGATGATTCTTATTGCACAAATATGAAAGAAATTTACATATATTCCTCTTGACAAATATTTCTGAAGTAATACATTATAATTATTCACATAATACACTGTAACCTATTTATAAACAATACAAGTATGATATAATTCAAGAGAGTTTAGTGGGGTTTACATGCAGTTATATTTACTTTTGTTTTTGCACATCAAATTATTAAAATACACATGTACATGTACATGCACTATAATATGTGTAGAGACTTTTTGCTCTAAGTATAATATCTGAGGAGCAATACACATATCAACTGTGGAGCTAAGTAACAAACACAAAATTCTACTATCTACTTTCCAGAGAGAGCACCTATGCAGCTCTCTGTTTTTATGGAGCACTACAATTTATTATAATATGACAGATACGATAAATTTTTAACCCCCCAAAACTGAGATTTTTCAAATTCTATTATTTTAAATAATTTATAATGCACACTGTAATTGTCAAGTTATCACTAATGGTAACAGTTCTTATATACATGAATCTTACATGCAAAGTGCACTTTATTATGAAAATACAGTACAATTGTGCATGCATAAAAACCAGAACTGTTCTTCAAAACAAACAACAATGCACAGAAACATACTATAACTAACTTTTTGGTGTCTAATTTTTCTACATTAAAAAGCAATTCAAAAACCTACAGAGTTTGCTATTTAGCAATAGCCTATCATTATATGACATTTTTAGTTATTTTAGCAGTTATAACACCATCTCCATCACTTTTATGTGCTTTAAGTTGCTAAACTAAAGGTCTAAAAATAACAATATGTCACAACTTCATTCAGGGTGACATAACAATGCAGTCCTCTATCACATAATAAAAATATAACTGCATAAAATCAACAGTGTAAATGAATGAGACATAAACATAAGCTGGTAAAATTAGTTCTTTAAACTCTAATCTCTGTATAGTAACATCCTTGTGGCACAACTCCGCCCCACAAAGCTGGAATATTTCCTGATGACGTTATCATGGGTGGTCTGTTTCCTAGGGTTGAGTAATTTATACTGTTCATATGTCATGGCCATTCTCTTGTGTAGAATCATAACTTTATCTAATTCCACCTTCCCTTCTTCATCCTCTGAAATGATGATTAGATGATTTTTAATGCAAAACCTGTCTTTGGATGCCATGGTGACTTAAATTTTTTAGTACAATTAATTCAAAGCACAATATATGTATAATCTCTAACCCAGTCATATATCTTGTACTAACACATAATATATCTCTTGGAAAACATTAAAGTAAAATATTTCCAAGTGTAAATTGTGATATTTTCATAGCAAGAGTTCACAGAAAACAGTTTTAGGGAGTTATCATCAATAATCTCAGAGGAATTACATGAAGTAAACCTTAAACTAAAACGCAAACATTAAAGTTACACCAAATCTTGTATAAATTATTAGAACATCCACAAAGATACAGGACTATACCTACCTTTACCAGGCTCAGCAAACCTGGAGTATCTGTTCTGATCCAGTTTTGGAGCACACTCCTCTATAGGATGCCATGAATAAACTTCAGGACAGAGGAGGTAGGACGGATAGTACTGTCCCTAAAGAAATCACAATATCGTTATACACTCATAATTAAAGGTGTGGAGGGGTCTGTTGAACTTTACACAAGAATTTTATTCCTGATACTAGTACAGTGTAATGTACATATATCAGAGAGAGGCATGGCATTGTATCAAAGATTATAGTGATAAATACATATATTTTTCAGTGCATACATGTATATATTTACATCCACTGAATATTTTACCCTATATTTCTTAAGAAAACCCATTGCGTTAATCACTGCATGAACTACATTAGTCGCCAGTACAGATTTCTTGATCAGTGGCTGTTCCATCAATGAAACATATAAAGATGTTCGCATCATTAATACAATATATCATCTTTTTAATCCTACTTTAAATGATTATTTAAACAGATATAAATATTAACAATAAAATGCTTTCCTTGTTTGTTATTACTGGAATTAACGGTTGCAGCTATTGCAGAAAAAATTTACATAACCCGCTTACGCGGGTTATGTATTTTTTCTGCAACAGCTGCTTCCGTTAATTCCAGTAATAACAAACAAAGAAAACATTTTATTGTTTAAATAATCTACCAGAATTCAGATTCCAAAAAAAAATTTCTCCATTTCGCTGAAGATTTGGTGAAGCAAATGGTTGTTTTGCATAATTTGGGAGACATTCATCTGTGTATGTAAATGCTGTAAGCCTGTTGTGTAGACATAGAACCTGTTCAAATGTAAAACTTACCTTGTATTTCATCTTAGGACAGGAATGAATATAATAACCCATGTAGTAAAAGGTAAGATCTGGGTCTTTCTTGTTCAGCTCACGAACAAATGCAATCTCCCTGGAAAACATCCTTGTATAAATATGCTAGTACTTATTTTTAATGAAAACTGACCAAATTTAAGTCAGTCAATAAAAATACTGGTAGAGCTGAGACTGCTTACATTCAAATTTAGGTTTCTCTACATTCTACTTTTATATTACTTAATTCACTTGAGTTCTGAGTTAGGTGGGTATTTTTGTTTATTCTTAAATTACTTGATACCATTAGTCTTGTGATACGTTCAATTTGAACCTTTCAATGTACTCACCTGAGAGCTGAGTAGGTCCCCAGACTGAGGAAGTCATAGTCTGGGTGATAGTAGAGGTACACGGAGGATACACAGTTTGGGAGGATATCGATGACCCCCACAGCTATTATCTGACCGTCTAACCAATACTGCTGATGGAAAGATCCATAACCCATAGGGAGCCTCCCTTCTTTATACTCCTCCTACAAAATGTCAATGAAATGTTTTGCATTGTAAATCACTTTAAAATCCTGTTATGAAATGCTTTAATCTTTTGAATATCTCAATAATTCCTTATTGAATCAATAAAATTTTCTGCTTTTGTCAATAAATTTAGAATTCTAGCATTAAATTTCAACAATTTTGATTTCAAGTTCCAAGAGAATTTTGTTTCTTTCCCTGTAATGAAAGCAACACATACAAGCAATGAAATTTTATCTAGGTTTATACACAAGTATCTGATAATATTTTCATAAAAAGGACATAAAGATGCTTCCATGCAGCCTCCCAGTCTACCTGCAGGGGCCCCTCACACAGGAACTGGTCAAACTGATCCTCTGAGCAGTCCCACTCCTCCTCGTGATGAATCCCCATCTGGTACCTCTTAAACACCCCATAGGACTCCTCGTGAGTGTCCTCAAACTCCGATGAAGGAGGGTTAACCCTGACCAATTTTACCTGAAATGTGAAGTGATCCCTCATAAGATATTTACCTGTAGTGGAGAATTACATAGAAATCTGGTGTATTGAGCCACGCTGGGTTTTTCAGGAGGGTCGTTGTGAATTTTCATTTGATAGGAATGGTAGACGGAATGGGCGTGGTCAAAGGATTTTGTGAATTCTGGACTGCGGGGCTCTGACCTAACCAGCCGAATCTGTAAATATAGTTAGCTGGTCTCAGAATTTATATTTCCTCATCAAGAGTTCTTAGAACATTAAATTTGATAGTATGAAATCTGATGAAAGAAAATTCAACTAAAGGACAGATTTTCTAGCTTTTTTTTTTTTAATTAAAAGTGACACTGAGATGAAAAAACAAGAAAATTGACAAAATTAGGATTTATGCATGACACATGCCAATTTTGTTCAGTTCATGAAGAAATTAGGTTTCAAGAAATTACAAGTTTCAGAACCTAAAAAATCTACTTAAATGGAGAAAGATAAAACCAAAAAATTGAAGATGACTACAAGATAGGAACTATTCCTTTAAAATCTTAAGGATCCAAAACATATTAAATTAATGAGATAAAAAAATTCTGTCATATAATATTTTCATTTGTATTTGTTTTCTCCGTGACAACTCTTTAAAAAACATAGGTAATCAGAGATTACAGAGCTCACCTCAACGAATGTTGTCTTTAAGTAAGGCAAAGTCACACAATTAACCAACAAAAAGTATACATTCCAAAAATGAAAATATTTTTAAAAGCAATTTTGATCTGATACTTTGAAATAGACCTACATAAAAAATTTAAACTACTTCTTCATGAAAATGTAATGAAAATCCAGCATCTGAAGCAAATTTGAGAGTTTTCATCTCTTGATGCAGCATTTGTGCAAGTTTGGTTTATACAATGTTATATAAGCCTTATAGTTTTTGGTAATAGACCTGCAACCATAACTTTTACCTTGTCTACTATCTGAAAAATGTATGTCCAATTCAGCATCCGAAGCACATCCATTAGTGTGCATCCTTAGATGTATCATCCATGCAAGTTTGCTCATTATAGGGCTCATAGTTTATTGGAAATGAAACATGCATCAAAACTAACATTTTCACTCATCCACAAAAAGTAGGTCAGATTCAGCATCCGAAGCAAGCCTGGAAGTATGCATCCTTAGATGTATCATCTATGCAAGATTGGTCATTAAAGAACTCATAGTTCCTTGGAAATGAAACCTGCACCAAAAACTTTTAACTAATCACTCAACCAGAAAATGTAGGTCAGATTCAGCATCCGAAGCAAGCCTGGTAGTGTGCATCCTTAGATGTATCATCCATGCAAGTTTGGTCAACATAGGGCTTAAAGTTACTTGCAAATGAAACCTGCACCAACAACATTAACCTTTTCGCTCAACTGGAAAATGTAGGTCAGATTCAGCATCCGAAGCAATCCCCGTAGTATGCATCCTTAGATGTATCATCCATGCAAGTTTGGTCAACATAGGGCTTATAGTTACTTGGAAATGAAACCTGCACCAAAAACTTTAACCTGTTCACTCAACCAGAAAATGTAGGTCAGATTCAGCATCCGAAGCAAGCCCGGTAGTATGCATCCTTAGATGTATCATCCATGCAAGTTTGGTCAACATAGGGCTTATAGTTACTTGGAAATGAAACCTGCACCAAAATTTTAACCTGTTCACTCAACCGGAAAATGTAAGTCAGATTCAGCATCTGAAGCAAGCCCGGTAGTATGCATCCTTAGATGTATCATCCATGCAAGTTTGGTCAACATAGGGCTTATAGTTACTTGGAAATGAAACCCTCACCAAAAACTTTAACCTGTTCACTCAACCAGAAAATGTAGGTCAGATTCAGCATCCGAAGCAAGCCCGGTAGTATGCATCCTTAGATGTATCATCCATGCAAGTTTGGTCAACATAGGGCTTATTGTTACTTTGAAATGAAACCTACACCAAAAACTTTAACCTGTTCACTCAACCGGAAAATGTAGGTCAGATTCAGCATCCGAAGCAAGCACGGTAGTATGCATCCTTAGATGTATCATCCATGCAAGTTTGGTCAACATAGGGCTTATAGTTACTTGGAAATGAAACCCACACCAAAAACTGCACCAAAAATGTTAACCTGCTCCAAAAACATTAACCTGGTAATTCCTTTGCTGAAATTGCAGCATCTGAAACTTTGTCTGGTACAATAAAACACACTAAAACCATCTTCCATGCATGTCTAATCAGTATAGGACACAGAAGTAATTAAAAAGAAAACTGCTCAAAAAAACTTAACCTTAACTTGGGACGCCGACGCCGAGGGTATCACATAAGCTCCCCCCAACTTCGTTGAGGTGAGCTAATTAGTTGATTTGATTTCTTGATCATTCTGTCAGAATGTCAATTTCGCCAAACAATACGTCAGGAGCTAAGGAGGCCTAATGTGCATGTTAGTCTCATTGACTGTCTTTGTTTTTGACCTCAGTGGGCGGGGATTATTGAAATTGACATGGGAAACTTTGTGTAATTTAAACCTATTCGTCTACATTTTTAATATTTCAATTTACAATTTTATTTCATGATGAAATTGATATATAAAGATGCACTGTCTAGTTAGTAGAGCATGCCAGGTCATCAATGATAGTTGGAAACCTGGGAAAAGCCCGTCACGCAAATTATCCCACATTTCCAACTATCATTGATGCCCTGATATGCTCTACTAACTAGACAGTGATTCCTTATATAACAAGAAAAAAGGTACACTGTATTGGATTGATGCATATGTGAGATTATTGGCAGAGCTATCAGAGGATTCTACAAGAATTAGAATTTGCCTACATGTAGCTTTCATAGATCAGCTTTTGTGCAAAATGAGATTTAATTTTGTAGAAAAAATAATAAATAATGAAGCACCATGTAGAATAAGAAGCACTGGTTTATTAAGAACATGTAAATATTAAAAAAGTACCCAGATTCCAAGAAGATTATATAAAACTGAGGCACTACTTGCTGTGTTAAGTTTAAAACAAGCTTACCTCCAACTTATGAGCACAACTCTCTGCCTGGTCAGGTTCATTTAGTAAATCTTCTAGAGTTTTCTCCCCTGAGTTCTGAAACAGAAGATGGCATTATTTACAGAATTTTTTACTAGTATAGTGTAAATGTCAAACAGAAAACCATATGTTAATATAAAAACAGTTTTTTAAAAGAGACCTGAGTCAACTGAACAGTATACTTGTAGTGTACTTTCAATTTTGCAAACTTTTAGTCTTTTCCTGAAGTTAAAAGTCTTTTTCTTTTTAATTCATAAAGTAATGAGAAACTTAAATGAATTACAAAACTTTTACTGAAAAATTTATATCTTTTTACTGTTATGTCACATGTATTGTATGTAGCACAACATCTTACTTTCTGTTTTGTGCATTTTAATTGTGATATTGCTTACTTTCTGTTTTTGCTATTTTTAAATACTTTGTTTTTTGTCATCTTAATACTTTGTTTATGTAATCTTACTTTCTGTTTCTGTGATGGCTGTTTTTCTGGTTGTGGGTTGTAACTTTGTTTTGCCAGTTTTCTTTCCTTCCTGAGTTCCTTGGCTTTCTTACATTTTGGTTTGTTAGGATCAGCACCAAGTCCTTGTGAACACAATTAAATTACATATTAGTTTTGTTAGAGTTGTGCCCCTTGACACATTTTATCTCTATTCAAGCATCTATTGTAACTTAAAACTTAAAGCCAACATAAAGAGTTTTAGATAAGATAATGCTCAAATAAATGAATGGAAAAGAAGATATTTCATACTGAAAATTCAAAGAGTTTTAAAAACATCAGATACAATATAACAGCTTAAGTATAAATGTATGCGCCTTATTTTTTATGTGATACACTTTTTTAATACCTGGCTTGGGTGCCCCTTTGACCTGTGATGTCTCTGTCTCTACCCTGTCTTTGTCTGTCTCCATCACTTTCTCTTTGCCTGAAGAATCATGCGAGCCACTCCCCTTTTTCTTGCCCCCTTTCTCTGCCCCTGCCCCTTTTAACCCCCCTCCCTCTGTTTCCCCCATGCCGTCCTCTTCTGTTTCATGTTCCCCTCTTTTCTTCCCATGGATGATAAATTTGTTGAACTGTTTGATGATTTTCTTATGTGATTTTGACATTTTGAAGTCGAGGGCTCCCATTTTAATTGTGTAATGAGGACAGCAGGTGGTGTCCATTTTGGGTTTGTAGCAGTACTTTCCACTCCTGAAAAAATAAAGTAAACTGAGTAAAACTGTTGGACAAAAATAAAATTCAGTTTCTTTCCATCTTTCTATCTCCCTCTATTACAAATGCTCTTCATCTTTTCTCAGCCTTTTTTTTTCCTTATTCTCATTTTGCCATCCCCACTACAAAGTCTCTTCCCAAACTAAAACTCTGCTTATTAGTCCCCCTGATCTCTATGAATGCCCCTCCCCTCTCCATACCTTCTCCATCCTCTGTCTATAAGGTCTTGATAATCCTGTACCGTCAGAGCGTGAGCCCACATTCCTGCAAAAAAAGACAAATGATGAGTTTATAATCAAAATTACTGGACTGAAATATAATATGACTATGTCTTGCAGAGGAATTTTAAAGTAACGTTAACACTTTTTTTCATTTAGAAGTAGTGCAATTTACCTATCCTAATAAACTGAAAGATGGGGGTACTCAGTAGTCCAACTTTTATTTGTGTGCAAAAAATATCTGCGCGCTTCTCGACCTACTTTGCCTCGCAAATATTAATAGCCGCAAATCAAACATTCATGATCATGATTTTTGTTTTTATGTACTGGAGAATATTTCCTCAATCACAAAAATTAATCGTCGGAATTGATTTCAATCCGTTAAATTGTGAATAAAAGATGACATGAAATTATTGAATATAAATAGTTGGTTTACAGCAATGATGGAAATAAAGCAACTCAAAGCTTTAATTTCTCTGACTAGTTAAACTGGTCTTTTTTTAGTTTTATTTTGTTTAGCAATGTTTCAGTTGAAATCAAAATCCCTTGGAAAACCTTGGTAATACTCTGTTAATGCATCATTTGAGTTTTCCTTGGGGTGTCACTTTCAACTTTTACCTTCCAAAACAGGCACTTTTTATACATTGTTAATGTACAGAAATATAAACGGACCTCTAACTTAACTTACCAGGAGGCATGTAGTTTTTATTGACTGGTTCATGTACATCTCTATTCTTTTACTTTACATATCTGTGCATTAACTTCAATTTGTTTTACACCTCAAACCCAAAGGACACAAAGCTTATCTCTTGAAGCGTCTTTTCTGGTCATTGTTTGGGTTAGCAACTGACAACAAGATAGTGAGAGAATTTTTCCATTGTCCTATGGAAACTCTTTTACAAAAAAAAAATAGTTTTACCATCAGAAACATTTGTGTCGGAGCTTTTACAGTAACCACAGCGATGTCCAGGACGGTCTCCACCTCCATACCACTCTACAATTCCTGGTCCCACCGAATCTGCCATTATTGTGAAATTGTACTTTCGGTTTACTCGTATTTTCCGCGGACTTAAAAAATTGCAAGAAAATCATAAATTAAAAAAATGCAAATCATATAGCCTACTTATTAACTTTTCACATACATTTACAATTTAAAATTAAATCTGGCCTACATAAAATATTTAACCGACCTTTTTTATTTTTATTTATTTATTTTTTGCGGAGCAGTGTTGAAAACGAAAGTAGAAATGGCAGCCTCTGTGAAAACAATACTAAGGGGGCTTCGCCGTTGTGCGGTATTAGAAGGGGTCTCCAGGCAGACAGCCCTTAATTTTGCCAGATCTGCTCACTTTACATATGTACCCGACACGCCATCAGCTGTATATGGTATGCGGATAAATAATACTGTTGAAAATTTAACTCACAAGTTGAAAGTCAAGCCAAAGTCGACCTTGTCAGTTTGTGTGTCTGCTATATTTCTCTCTTTGGGCGCTTGCTACATTTGTGTAAACATTTTGATACTTACTGCTGTGTTTCAGATGTTTAAATTTGAGAGCGCTTATGCAACTGATTAACTAAATTTGAATTATCTTTTACATTTTCTTAGAACTGCATGTAGAAAGATGGCTATGAGAACTCAAACAAGCAAGATTAGCACTATATGCATATATAGTAATTCACTAAATTATACACATTTGATGCCTTTAAAATGCCATAGATTTCATACAATTTATATCAGTTTTCAGTATACCTCGATCTCCAAAAAACAAATATTTGAATGCTTAGAACAAACTGTAACAGTAAGCCATTTAGTAAATGGAAATCCCAGTCATAACAAAGAGGAATGGGCTTGTGACTGGTTGAAAGAGGATGCTTACTCCTTCATGACACATGATCCTTAATCACTGATGGTTTAGAGGTCTTGTCTTTGCCCTGCTCCCAATTTGTATGGTAAACATTTAAGAAATGAATTTAATTTTTGAAGATTCATGAGGTTATGAACTACGACGCTTCACGCGTTAGCGCTTCATGATAAATATGCCGACGTGAAGCGTTGTAGTTCATATACCTCATGAATCTTCAAAAAATTAAATTCATTTCTTATATTTACATTATTTTTTTGATGACTTGCAATAAATTTACGCCGTTCAACTGTCATTTTGAAAACAAAACAGGGTGCACTATATTTTTTGACGTCAAGCGTGGTATTATGACGTAACAATGGAGATATTCATGCTTATTTGTGATACATACCTAATGTAGTTCATGAGAAAATATACTGCATTTTATTTTGTAAAGAATCATAGGGGAAATTTATTGGAAATGTAAATATTTTCAGAGGAATGCTTTGAAGCTTGAATACTGTTTATCATCTTCTTATTGAAAGTGCATGAACTTTATAGATCAATCAAATCATTTGTCATATGAATTCGCAGAGAATTCAAGAAAAATATGAAGCACCCGACTAGGATTTGAATCCAGATCCTCTGTACATTGAATTAATACTGTAATCACATATAATGTACATCACATTTCAATTACCAGTGATCAAAAATTGACTTTATTTGTCCATTAGAGCAAAAAGGTTTCATTTGGGCTATTTATTAATGCCTGTTCTCCATAGGGCTGCATGTAAAATAGAAATTAGAAAATAATTTTATTTATAGTTATAAGCTCTGTTCTCTTTTGAAAATCTTTTTTTTTAAATAATTTATTAATTTGCTTTTCAGGGGACACAACTCGTATGAACCTAGTCCAGGCAATTAACAACACATTAGATTTGACACTAGCAACAGACCCCACAGCAGGTGAGAGCATTTCTGATTGTCCTATAGCTGTACATGCAGCATTAAAAGTACCAAAATGTGTTCTAATGTAAACAATGTCAGCTGGTATACTATTTGGTGAAATAAACATTTGTTGAAAATGCTATGGAATATACAGTCATGTACATGTATATAACAAACCATGATATTTTTTTAGTTTTATTTGGGGAAGATGTGGCATTTGGAGGAGTATTTAGGTGTAGCAATGAACTGAAAGATAAACATGGTAAGTAATTATGTTCCCCAAACGAAGTTTGGGAACATATTGTTTTTACTTTTTTCTGAATTTTCTTCTCCGGTACTTTTTTTGTCCGCGAGTGTTCTCGTAAACTACTCATCCGATCTAGGTGAAACCTTTTTAGGGTCACTAGGTATGTTATGTAGATGTGCGGAACGAAGGTCATTTTGCGCGCACGTGCGTGCATGTACACACACGTGTAACGCGTGAAATGACCAATATGATAGATATAGCCGTAACCTTTTAAATTTTTGATGAAATGCTTTGAAACTCATAATATAAGGATATAATAGTAGTATAGACATGATGACATGGTCAAAATAGCAAGATCTCACGCGCATGCACGTGCGCTTCGTTCCGATTGGTTGAAACAAAAGTCTTTATATCTTTTTTGTTTTCTGACAAAATCCTTTGAAATTTTGAACATAGTCATACATTATGAAGATCTACAGCCTGATATATAAGAATAATCATGACCGCACGCACATGCACGTTAGCTGCAATCTGATTGGCTAAAAGTTTAAATGCCTAAAACTTTCTTAGTTCTCATTAATACAGGGTGAAATTTCGAATATGAATAGATATAATGAATGCCTACATTATTCTACCATCAAAAGTAAATGCAAGGACGTCATGCACATGCGTGCTCACACAATGCTTTAAACGACAGTATACTTAAGTCTTTTGATGTTCATGCAGAATGTAAAGACATGTAACATACTGAAGCAGATCTTTTTACCCTTGACCTTGATACTTAGGTCAAGGTCACTAGTAACCTGAATAAAATGTTGATATTAGCTATTTACCAAAATGACTTTGACCTATGAACTTGAAATCGACCTTAACCTTTGACCTTAACCCAAGGGTAGAAAGACCCCCCCTCAAACAAAGTAGAGAATCGCTGTAAAGCTAAAATTACACTTCGGACCCACATAACATTTCAAGGAAACTGCAGAAAAGAGCTCGAGGAAAGAGTATTAAAATATTTGATGTGAGTTTCCAAAGAATATAGAAATTATTAATTTAATTAATTACAAATCCTGTCGTGTTTGAAATTAAAGTACAGATGAACAAAGTTGGTATATAAGCCTTCTATGTTTACATGTATTTATTCGGATGTCGTTAATAGCATTCAATTCTACTGATTTGAAACAATATATTAATACCAAGCATCCTTTGTTTATTTAACCTTTGAAATTTAATTGATTTTTTTTTTAGAATTACGCAATCCCCAGAAATTCAAAATCAATATACATGTACGCTCCTTCGTAAAAAAAAATATCAGGTATTTGCATTCATGAAAAATATATTAACAAGAAGGTTTTAAAGAATATTGGTCACATTAGCTGATACGAATGTCTTTATAAATATCTATTGTAAACCCCAGAAAGTAGCCTCCTATGCATTCAATTTGGAAAAAATGAATAGTCCCGGTCAAAAACCTTTACATGTATATATTTATTTACATAGTATATAAAATTTACTAGGCACAGGTACCAGAGTTGTCAAAATGACCAGAGAGGAAATATATTAAAAAAAATCTGAACAGATTAAAGGAAAATCCCTTTTCTATGTATGGAACTAAAATTGACTAAGTTCATTTTGATTGGTTAGCCATCGGCGTGATATCCTCAGTCGACTTTAACACCAACTTTGAGCCCGAGGTTAAAATCAGTAGAGAATTTAAACGTGAATAGGTATTTCAAAAAATGATATATACTTGAAATGTGGTAACTTTATATCTGTATTTTTTCTATTATTCGCGGGATAGAAAGATGTGTTAATCGCTTAACCAACATGCCATGATCATCTTGCATATGCATGTACATGTACGTGTGGGCCAATGCAAAACGTTAAACGATATATAGTTGATATCATTGTAACTTTTATATCTTTAAATGAAATCCTTAAATACTTAGTATATTTATAAAAGGTGTTACAGGAAAAGCTATGGCACGAAAAGGGACATGGGGAGCGTTTGGGGAACATCTGTAACGGTCCCCGTTACAATTAGCCCTAGTTTGAAGATAAAATGTCACCAGTGACCTACCAAAATTTACTTAGTTGTATGTTGTGTCATCCTATAAAGTTTATATTTCTACCTGTATACAAGCATTCATGTAAGGTTATGATTATAATACTGACTGGAACACATCATTTTTACTCTGTTGACCAGCTTAACATATCATTTCATCATGGGTTTTTTTCCTGGCAGGTGGAGATAGAGTTTTTAATAGTCCCCTCAGTGAGCAGGGTATCGTGGCCTTTGGTATTGGTCTGGCCGTAGCAGGTTCTACAGCTATCGCAGAAATACAGTTTGCTGATTACATCTTCCCAGCTTTTGATCAAGTGAGTACTGAACATGGAGGCATGCAGCAAGAAGTGAAGATTTATGATTCAATATGACACTCCAGACTTTCATTTTCACCTAGTTGCATGAACCAAGACATGAAAAAACATTCATGTAGTAATAAATTTTCTCTCAAATTTTTACAGATAAATGGACAAAAATGTTTAGTTAATAATGCAATCACAGATAATTTCCTTTTCTACCTTTGGGGTAGGGGGTGATTACAGCAACAATGGTATATTTTTTTAAAAATTGTATGTTGATTATCATTTCTGAATATGACTTGTAGTTTAGTTGCTTAAAATTAACATATTATTATCGACTTTTCAAAACTTTCCATAATCTAGTGATGTAGATCTTCATTTACCTGGGTATTAGAAATCACTGAACTAAGCAGTACTTTAAGCTATCTTTGAGTTATAAACACTTCTACCCTTCTATAGATAACTAACGAGGCAGCAAAGTTCCGCTACAGGACGGGAGACTTGTTTGACTGTGGGAAACTGACGATCCGGACCCCCTGCAGCGCTGTAGGTCACGGCGCCCTCTATCACTCACAGAGTCCCGAGGCTTTCTTTGCTCATGTACCAGGGCTTAAGGTAAGGTTAAAGTTATTCTAATCAAAGACACAGTCATTTAACATACAATCAAAGAAATATGGAGTTTATTCTTCCTTATTTGGATCTGTGATCAATACAAAGTAAGAAACGTATGAGGTATGAGTTACACATAGTTCTCATTTTCGTCTATGTAAATCAAGATATGTCAGTGTTCCAAAAGTCTATCAAAACCATTATTTTCTCCGGTTACAGACCATATCCACCAGTAGAGTTGTCCTTCTTTGCTTACTTAAATTTGAAAATAATTTACCCAAGTCAGTAGATATCTGTACATTTCCTGACAGTGTTGGACTTTTTAGCTCACCTGTGCTGAAAGCTCAAGTGAGCTTTTCTCATCATCTGTTGTCCAGTGTCTGTCTGTTTGTCCTTCCATCTGTAAACTTCACATTTTCAATTTCTCAAGAACCACTGGACTAATTTTAACCAAAGTTAATACAAAGCATCTTTGGATGATGGGGATTCTAAATTGTAACCAGAAGTCTCTGTCGAGACTGTAGCTCTACTGGTTTATACTTAAAACAAAGGAAGAGAAAAGTAGCAGTTGGGACTTGAGACTTTAAATCAGCAATAAATAGAAAAATGATCCTTGCCACTCATCAAAATAAAAACCAATGCACAGAATTATGTATCTTAGTATAGTCTACTTGTGTGCCAAGTTATACTGAAATCAGACAAAACAGCAGGAGAAGTAGCATTTTGAAAGAATTTCACAGAAATTTCTATTTTTAGTAACCTGGCAACATTGTTCATTGAAATCAAAAACCGATGCACAGAATTATGTATCTTAGTGTAGTCTACTTGTTTGCCAAGTTATATCAAAATCAGACCAAAACTGTAGGAGGAGTAGCATTTTGAAAGAATTTCACAGAAATTTCTATTTTTAGTTACCACGGCAACACCGTTTATCGAAATCAAAAACCGATGCACAAAATTATGTATCTTAGTGTAGTTTACTTGTGTGCCAAGTTATACTGAAATCGGACCAAATCTGTAGGAGGAGTAGCATTTTAAAAGAATTTCAAAGAAATTTCTATTTTTAGTAACCAAGGCAACACCGTTCATCGAAATCAAAAACCGATGCATAGAATTATGTATCTTAGTGTAGTCTACTTGTTCCAAGTTATACTGAAATCGGACCAAATCTGTAGGAGGAGTAGCATTTTAAAAGAATTTCAAAGAAATTTCTATTTTTAGTAACCACGGCAACACTGTTCATCGAAATCAAAATCCGATGCACAGAATTATGTATTTTAGTGTAGTCTACTTGTGTGCCAAGTAATATTGAAATTGGACCAAAACTGTAGGAGGAGTAGCATTTTGAAAGAATTTCAAAGAAATTTCTATTTTTAGTAACCAAGGCAACACCGTTCATCGAAATCAAAAACCGATGCACAGAATTATGTATCTTAGTGTAGTCTACTTTTGTGCCAAGTTATATTGAAATCAGACTATAACTGTAGGAGGAGTAGCATTTTGAAAGAATTTCACAGAAATTTCTATTTTTAGTAACCACGGCAACATCGTTCATCGAAATCAAAAACCGATGCACAAAATTATGTATCTTAGTGTAGTCTACTTGTGTGCCAAGTTATATTGAAATTAGACCAAAACTGTAAGAGGAGTAGCATTTTGAAAAATTGTTTACAGACAGACAGACAGACAGACAGACAGACGGACAGACAGACAGACGGACGGACGACGGACGCATTACTATCGCATAAGCTCTTCTGGTCTCTGACCAGTAGAGCTAAAAATGAAGGGCTAAACCCCTTCCAAAGGGAGATAATCAAGAAAAGGCAAAATATGTAGGGATCATTAAAAATATTCTTCTTTTCACTAGACCAACAAAGTTGAAACTTATATGGAAGCTTTCTGAGGTCATGTCAGGAACATAAAATCTATCAAGATGTACATCTTCACTGTTTATTGCCAAATACATGTATTTACATATGGTGTGATTTTTTTCTAGTAAGCCAACTGTAAAATTGATTTGAATACCATTTTTGTCTATACTGGGCAGTGGCATGTAAAAATAAACACGGAGAAACTTGCACTAAAGTAACGTATCAATGAGGTTACGGAGATGTTAGCTAGTAAATATATAATAATAATATAGGGCAACAAAAAACTTAAAGAATAAGTATATCTTTGGTGCTTTTTGACATGTACAATGTAAGTACAATGTATAAGAAATGTTGTTAAGTATACATGTATTTATAAAATGTTGACATGGGTTCAATATAAGGTTACTTTTAGTTATTAGTTTCTCATCAATATTCTTTTCAAATTGTTACTGCCAATATTACTGCATGAAATGACACTGCATATATCCTACACATTTAATTAATTAAATTTTTTTTTATTATACCCCCCGCTTGAAAAGCGGGAGAGTATATAGTAATCGTTAATTCTGTCTGTCTGTACGTCCATCCGTCCGTCCAGCTGTCCGTCCGTCCGTCTGCTACGCTTTGGGGTACCCATCTCCTATCTGCAACTCCTCTCATACCACTTTAGGAAATTTAATGAAACTTTCACAGAAGCTTTATTACATATTGCCATTGTGCACCTCCTATTTTACTTTTTGATCCGACACATATTTTGGGTTTCCCGGCCACAGCAAAATATGGACTTTGCAATTATAACTATATGGAGGCGGGGGGTATCATTTAGTGAGCTCATCGCTCACAGTACCTCTAGTTTTGAAATATTGTTATTCATCTCACATCTGAAACTGCTACATTTACAATTATTTAAATGGATGAATGGGATAAAAATTTCAATGCACTGATGCATAATGCATTTCGAAATAGTTAATTCATTTTACATCGTGCATTTCCATTCATTCAGTTCCTTTAATTGCCTCTGTACCAGGAGTCTGTATGATACAGAGGTGATAAATTTAGTACTAAACTAGTCCATTAATGAAAACTTGATGAATGCTTCCTGTAATTCATCAGAAAAATACAACTGCAGTATTTGAGTAGGTAGATGTGATAGAAAACAATTGGGTGAACCAACTGCTTCTACAAAATCAAAGTTCATGAACTTAAAGACTGATTTAGAAAAGAAGTTCAACTTCAACAAATACTAGGCAATACATGTATATGAGGTTGGTCAGGTGATCCTTTTTAGCTCACCTGTTCCAATGAGCTTTTCTGATCAAAATTTGTCTGTTGTCTGTCGTTGTCAACTTTTCACATTTTCATCTTCTACTCAAGAACCATGCGACCAATTTCAACCAAACTTGCCACAAAGTATCCTTGGGTAAAGGGGATTCAAGTTTATTCAAATGAAGGGCCACACCCTCTTCCAAAGGGATATAATCATGAATTAATGAAAAATTAATTGCATCTTTTAAAATTCTTCTTCTCAAGAACCACTGAGCCAGGAAAGATGAAACTCAAGTGGAAGCATCATCTGGTAGTGTAGATTCAAGTTTGCCCAAATCATGACCCCCAGGAGTAGGATGGGGTCACAATTGGGGATCAAAGTTTAACAAAAGAATACATAGGAAAAATCTTTAAAAATCTCAAGAACCACTGGGCCAGAAAAGATGAAACTCAAATGGAAGCATCCTCTGGTAGTGTAGATTAAAGTTTGTTCAATTCATGACCTCAAGGGTAGGGCGGGGCCACAATGGGGTGTCAAAGTTTAACATAGGAATATATAGGAAAAATCTTTAAAAATCTTTTCAAGAACAGCAAAGCCATGATTGGTCATAGTTATATAGAAGTATCCTTAGGTAGTGTAGATTCAATTTTGTTCAAATCATGACCCCGGGAGGGGGGGGGGGGGCACAATGGGTGAGCAAGATTTTATGTAGGAGTACACAGACAATTTTTTTTTTTAAATCTTCTTCTCAAGAACAACAAAGCCATGATTGATCATCAGTATAAAAGCATCAAAAAAGGTAATGTACATTTAAATTTGTTCAAATTATGACCAACCAGGCGAATAGAGGAGCCGTTAAAGTGGATCATTGTTATACGAAGGAATTTAAAGGCTATACCAATAAAAATTTTCATCTTATATACAGCAAAGCCATTTATGTATTAATTTAAAAGAATAGATTGAAGTTTGTTCAGATACCCCCCACCCCATCCCTGAACCCACTTTTATATTGAAACTTTTCAATGCTGTACTGATTGTTGCTTTTACGTAGCTAGTTTCTCAAGTGAGCGATGTGGCGCCTGGACCTCTTGTTGATTATAGACTGAAATACTAGGCATCTTGAAAAATTGGCATGTAAAGTTACAAATAAGAAAATGATTTCTATGTTATTTACACAGTTTTATTTTAATTTTGATTTTTATTACTTGTTATAAAAACCAATCAGCATTGAGTTATGAAATGATTTGTCTGCGGACTGTTGTGATTATAATTAAGCACAGATGTTCTTTTAAAAAAACTTTCAACTACATGCGCAATGTAAATTAGTTTTATATATATAGATGTTCAATTGTTTAGAGATGTAAAAATTGTTTCAGTTATTTCACAAACTGTAAAGAATAAAAGAATTACCAGGTAAATCTATATAAAGTATTTTCCCCTTTTGGCAAGTTCAGATAACCAAAATTCATGAGATCTTTCAACCTGTCAAGAATAATGGGCCTCCTTTGGCCCTGTGAATTTCTGAAAATCAGAACTGCTCATTTTTTGTTGAAAATATGTTAAATTCCACTTGGACCCTTGGTGACTTCATATCAAATAAAAATTACGTAATATTTTCTCTTGAATTGCGTCCTTTTCCTCAAATCTTGAAAATTTGTTTAAAAATGCCGCAAAAAACTTTGAGCATTTATTTAATTATTCCTTAAACATATATGCTGACTTCAAAGCACTGAATAATTTCATAAATGTTTTTTACAATATACAAAAGAAATTTCAGTTTTTTATGAATTTTGCGGGAAAATGTACATATTTCGTCGATATTTTAAATAAAAGTCACCGAGCGCATGTGTGTTCAGGATAAATATTTTGATATAATGTGTAGAATGATAATATAAATGAAATATGTCAATATTGTTCCTGAACACACAAGCGCTCTATAAATTTTAAAGCTTAAATTGTTGAAATTTTGTCCATTTTGTCCTCTTTCTGAAAAAGGATATAAAATCGGACTAGTTTGTGACCTTTAAAAACAGAAATTGTGAATACACATGCTGGAACTATAATATTTTCTGTTTTTATATTTCTCGTACAATTTATTGAATTCAGCACATTTACACTTGTTTTCAAAATTTGACTTTTGTTGGATTGCAATATACCGCATATAGTTCTTTGTTTAAAAACGGCAAAATATTTAAGCATTTTTAAAATATTTTGCATAACCCCCAACATCTGATCTAAAATGTTTAACTATATACTAAAAGAACTGTTTTGGAAGATTCTAATCCATGAAACAATTTTTGGATCGTGGGGTGGACTCATATTTTAATCTAGCTGCAGAACTGTAGCACCTTTTTTGCATTTTACGGGATCTGTAGCGTTATATGGTCAAAGAATAATATATAAAACCATAACACTACAATTCTGCAGCTAATTTTAATCAATGGTTGGATGAAGATGCTTAAATTCACTCATTTTCTTCAGAATTCAAGAACATTATAGTTTCACATAGCCTGAGTATCAAAACTTGGACTCTCAGAGGAAATTTTTTATAGAAAATGAAAGCACTAAGTCTCCACATTATGTTGATGTTCGAAATGGGACGTAAGGACTTAATTGGTCAGTTAATTGGTATTACGACAGGGCCATTTTATGGAGCTAGTGAACCTACCTTTTTATTACTTTATATAAAGATTGAACTCTTCTGTTAATTACACAATTGCATTTCAAAGATACAAAAATTTAAAATGATAACAATATTAAACGATTTATTTATATGACTGTATATATTGAATAGGGTTACTTTCAAAACAATGAAATTAAATGCCACATTTTTTGAGATTTTAATTCCACGATTAAATCAAAAATTTAAAATGATAACAAAATCAACATTTAGATAACAGATTAAATTAAAATAAAATCAATTTAGAAATGTGAGGTGATTCAAGTTCAAAATTGGTGAAAATTTTAATTTGAACATATATTTCGAGTATATCTGCACTCTGCCGTCTTGGATCATTCATTTCCAGCTCAGGTATGCCATATACATGTATAGCTTTAAGACTTACTTAGAGAGGAAAATATTAATATTGAAATTCTTCAAGAAACAGTTTATTGACAGATAGAAAGCATGGGGGATATGTCATTCTTTTTGTTTTTAACATTAACTTTGATTTTAGGTTTTGTGTTCATATTTAATGCTTATATTTTTTTTTTTATTTAGAAAAGTTAAAAATTGTTTTCTATTTTAAAAATCTTGGATAAGCATATTATGTGCCTGACTGACTGGTTTCCTTTAAGGCTTTTAAAGGTTATTATCTTGCACAGTGTTTTAATTAGATACTTTGAAGTCTGTAAATATTTTTTATGTATCATGCAGATCGACACATATAAAAGGAAATCTAGATACAAAAATCAACCTTAATTGTAATCGAGGGAGGAAATTAGTTTTTTTTTTTTAAAGACTAACATTGCCATGTAAAAAAAATAAATCACACATATTTAATTGAAATGGTAGTATATATCCTAAAATATTTCAATATGACAAATTCTTTTCCCAGAAAAAGAGCTCATAAATATGAAACAGCTAAAATTTCATTTTTCGATAGAAATAACAAAACTCAAGAGGGCATCAAGATAATATTCTTGCTTCATTATCTATAAATTTTTCCATTCAGATTGTGATGCCGCGAGGCCCCTACCAGGCCAAGGGCCTCCTTCTGAGTTGTATCAGAGACCCCAACCCTTGTATCTTCTTTGAGCCTAAGATCCTGTATCGGGGCGCCATAGAGGAGGTACCTACAAAGGACTACACATTACCACTGTCTCAAGCTGAAGTCGTGTTAGAAGGTAAAAACTGGACACGTGTTTAAGGATTAAAACTTTGTTCAGTCCTATTCACTCAATTTCAGTCTTTATCTATTTGTATAGATATTGCAAGGCCTTTTCCAGAGCTCCAACCACTACCATTTAATACACTAACACCCGCAGCAATCTGCAATGTCAAAAAAGACAAACGTCAAAGGTTAAATTTTTTGAAGAAAATATTCCAATTACCAGATTCAAATTCTTTGATTAATGAAAATGATTATAGGTATAATGTGAAATATCTTAATTACTATTATATGATCAAACATTAAAATATGTAAACAAAGTATATGCATGTACAGGTATGAAATAATAATGTGAAAAACCTATATTTTCGTCTGTCTTCTCATATGGAGTTGCACAGTGGCACTCTTGCCCAATTCTTAGGCCTGTCCTTTTTTTTAGTTTCTGTTATTCACTTACATAGAGAAACTATAACAGTCAGTTTAGATACCAAGGACAAGAAAACATTTCCTTGCCTACCAAACGTTTATGACTTGTACTATTCTGTGAGAGTGAATTGACTGAATTCAGGATCGAAACACTTGATCATAGTCCAGTGCGTCGTCTGTGTCAATGCAGCCGCCATTTTTCACAAAGTCAGATTTCAACCCTGTGATATAAAACGTTATAAAATTCATATTTGAGAAAGCATAAACACCAAAATTTGAGGAAATATAGTTTATAATACATTATTAAGAATTTTCAATTGCATTTATAAAATACAGAGTAGTAATTACATTTCCATAGGATTTTAGATGTAATATACAAATTTTTAATTGCAACTTTTGCGTACTGCGCTGCCTTCCTACACAAAAGAATGAAATGTGTCATTTAAATAGGGCTAAGTTATGTATTTATTCGATATCTGTTCATAAGTTTATTAGAAAATGTTGGTTTTATCTATGTACGAAGTTTTATTAATATTAGGGATGTCATATTAACTGGGTAACATTATAAAAATCGGTACTCGGTTATATATATATTTTTGAATGTTTATAAACTTATTCATTAATGCATTAAACAATCTGTTTTATAACTTAAAATGCTCTTTGCACTTGTACATGCAGTAATTAGGGTTTCCTACGCCTCTAAATGACCGTAATTGCCTGTGACAGTGTTTATACAGTAATTATCATGACCAAGCACCTGTTACCTGGCTTTTCTCACCTTCGGCTGTCTTCTACCCTTATTTTTGGTTTGCTTTAATTATTTGTTTTCACTGAACATCATTTAAGGTCTAATTTGTTTAAATAAATTAAATAATTTTGTCAATTCTCCGAGAAGCCGTAAATGATATTACACGTGCGATTGTTGATTGGTTGTATTTGATTACATGGCAATACAAATGGTTGAAGGCAAAGGCTTTAAAAACGGATTTCCATCGTTTCACCAAACTACAAAATACCGTCCCCTAAAACTATAAAATACAGGAGTGAAAAAGTGTACGAAAATCATAATTCCGCTCTGTTAGGAGAACTTGATCAAGTTCAAGTTGATACGGTACTACAAACGCAACAAAGAGTTACATTACAATTACGGAGTAGATTTTTTTTTAACAAAAACACTGTGAACCTCTTATAATTCTATTTCTTGTGTTTATCTGATATTTAAATTGAACTTCAAAAAATGTTATTTAAATTTCGTCGTAACAAGTGCTCATCATTGTTACAACAGAAATACATTTACGGGTAAACCTCCAATCAGAGAATGTGGTTAAATTTCTACAAGAGTTTACAATGTTTTACTGTCATCAATTTACTTGTTCATATTTATTTATACTTTTTACCGAGTACCCGGGTACTCGATCGGAAAAACGTCCGAGTAACCGAGTACTAAAAATTGACCGATTTGACATCCCTAATTAATATACATGATATATGACATCGGTTCCTACAAAGCATTTGGCTTGTCTAAGGAATTTTGGACAACCCTCGTAATTGCATGTTTCCAAAATTCTACTTTAATACAATCCTGAAAGCACCACTGGATGCAATGTACCCACTGTTATTTCAACTTGGAAAGGCCAGCTTCTAAAATGCCTACACTTTGAAAGCTTTAACATTATACAAGGAAAAGGATATACTGGGCGTTTATAATCCTAGTAACATGGAGGAGTTTGTTTCACAAACTGTTGATTTTTAAACAGGATTTTTATAGACAGGTGTTTTGTGTTTTTACCTGGCATAGTAATATCAGTGTAGATTTGATCTCCAACTGTGAAGAGATATAAAGTAGGATGTCCTGTTCTTTAACTGTCAACATTACCCCTTCACTTAAGTACTAAAGCATGATTTGTAATCGCGATTTGATTTAGAAGATATCAGAAGTTTGTCATAACAAACATCCTTGGAGAATGCAGTTCATGTTAATCCTTGAGTTTGATTGCATAATAGTCTTTAGGTAACCCTGCATTAATTTGTGGTTATAAAACCTTATTCAAATCATGAGTTATAATATTAGGCCACACAAAATTAATTTTTAGCTCACGTGAGCCGAAGGCTCAAGTGAGCTTTTCTGATCAAAATTTGTCCGTTGTCTGTCGTCATCGTTGGCGTTGTCGTCGTTAACTTTTCACATTTTCGACTTCTTCTCAAGAACCACTGGGCCAATTTCAACCAAAAACTTGGCACAAAGTATCCTTAGGCGAAGGGGATTCAAGTTTGTTCAAATGAAGGGCCATGCCCTCTTCCAAGGTGAGATAATTATGAATTAGTGAAAAATTAATGGTATTTTTAGCTCTACTGGTCAGAGACCAGAAGAGCTTATGCGATAGTAAGGTGTCCGTCGTCCGTCCGTCTGTCTGTCTGTCTGTCCATCTGTCTCTAAACAATTTTTCAAAACGCTACTCCTCCTACAGTTTTGGTCTGATTTTAATGTAACTTGGCACACAAGTAGACTACACAAAGATACATGAAATAGTGCATCGGATTTTGATTTCGATGAACGGTGTTGCCATGGTTACTAAAAATAGAATTTTCTGTGAAATTCCTTTAAAATGCTACTCCTCCTACAATTATGATCTGATTTCAATACAACTTGGCATACAAGTAGACTACACTAAGTTACATAAAATAGTGCATCGGTTTTTGATTTTGATGAACGGTGTTGCCATGGTTACTAAAAATAGAATTTTCTGTGAAATTCCTTTAAAACGCTACTCCTCCTACAATTTTGATCTGATTTCAATATAACTTAGCATACAAGTAGACTACACTAAGATACATAAAATAGTGCATCGGATTTTGATTTCGATGAACTGTGTTGCCATGGTTACTATAAATAGAATTTTCTGTGAAATTCCTTAAAAATGCTACTCCTCCTATAGTTATGATCTGATTTCAATATAACTTGGCACACAAGTAGACTACACTAAGATACATAAAATAATGCATAGGTTTTTGATTTTGATGAACGGTGTTGCCATGGTTACTAAAAATAGAATTTTCTGTGAAATTCCTTTAAAATGCTACTCCTCCTACAATTTTGATCTGATTTCAATATAACTTCGCACACAATTAGACTACACTAAGATACATAAAATAGTGCATCAGTTTTTGATTTCGATGAACGGTGTTGCCATGGTTACTAAAAATAGAATTTTCTGTGAAATTCCTTTAAAACGCTACTCCTCCTACAATTTTGATCTGATTTCAATATAACTTAGCACACAAGTAGACTTACACAAGTAGACTACACAAAGATACATAAAATAGTGCATCGTTTTTTTATTTCGATGAACAGTGTTGCCATGCTTCTAAAAATAGAATTTTCTGTGAATTCCTTTAAAACGCTACTCCTCCTCAATTTTGGTCTGATTTCAATATGACTTGGCACACAAGTGGTCTGCATTAAGATACATAGAATAGTGCATCGGATTTTGATTTAGATGAACGGTGTTGCCATGGTTACTAATAAAATGAATTTTCTGTGAAATTCCTTTGAAATGCAACTCCTCTTACAGTTTTGGTCCGATTTCAATATAACTTGGCACACAAGTAGATTACACTAAGATATATAAAATAGTGCATCGGATTTTGATTTTGATGAACAGTGTTGCCATTGTTACTAAAAATAGAAATGTATGAAATTCCTTTAAAAAGCTACTCCTTCTATAGTTGTGGTCTGATGGCAATGGCTTCTTTTCTCATCCTTTGTTATAAGTACAAACCAGTAGAGCTACAGTCTCGACAGAGACTTCTGGTTAAAAAATCTTCTCAAGAACCACTGGGCCAGGAAAGATGAAACTTATGTGGAAGCATCCTCAGATAGTGTAGATTCAAGTTTGTTCAAATCCTGACCCCTGGGGGTAGGGTGGGGCCACAATGGCTGATCAAAGTTTTACATAGGAATATATATATAGGAAAAATCTTTATAAAAATGGTCTTCTCAAGTACCTCAAAGCAAGGATTCGTGATAGTATAGGAAGAAAATGTTTTTGAAAATTTTTTTTATCAAGAACAGCAAAGTCATATGCTGTATTAATATGAAGCCATTCTAAAAAAGTATTAAATTCAAGCCCCCCCCCCCCCCCCCACTCAGTAAACTCTGTTCTGATCTGCTTTGTGTTTTTTCCTAGACGATTTGCTCAGGTGAGCGATGTGGCCCCTGGGCCTCTTGTTTGATGCTCTGACAGCCCTGCTCATGTTACACCTCACCCCTACAAACACATACACATAAAAAGGATGAGTTATTTATTAGAAGCATAAAATCACATTTTAAAAGTTATATTTGTGGTTTCCTTTCAATATTGTCAGACATTTTAGTTCCATTACTAGGACCAAGCCTAAGCAACACCATATTAAATATCTTTTAAAAATATTCAACAACACAGATTTTCTTTTGTTTTGTAGGTGACAATGTAACATTAGTTGGATGGGGAACTCAAGTCCATGTTTTATTAGAGGTTGCCAAAATTGCTCAGGATAAACTTGGTGTATCATGTGAAGTTATTGACCTCCGGACAATACTGCCCTGGGACTCAGACACCATCTGTAAGGTAGGTCAGGGGGGTTCACAATCAGATAGGTTTGGGGTCACCATCTGTAAGGTAGGTCAGGGGTCACAGCCTGTGAGGTAGGTTAGGGATCACAATCTGTAAGATAGGTCAAAATCTGTAAGGTAGATCAGAGGTCACAGTCTGTTAGATAAGTCGGGGGTCACAACCTGTGAGGTAGGTTAGGGGTCACAATCTGTGAGGTAGGTTAGGGGTCACAATCTGTAAGATAGGTCAGGGTCAAAATCTGTAAGGTAGATCAGAGGTCACAGTCTGTTAGATAAGTCGGGTGTCACAACCTGTGAGGTAGGTTAGGGGTCACAATCTGTGAGATAGGTTAGGGGTCACAATCTGTAAGATAGGTCAGGGGTCACAATCTGTAAGATAGGTCTGGGTCACAATCTGTAAGATAGGTCAGGGATCACAGTCTGTGAGGTAGGTCAGGGGTAACAGTCTGCAAGGTAGGTTAGGGGTCACAATCTGTGAGGTAGGTAAGGGGTCAAAGTCTGCGAGGTAGGTCAGGGGTCACAGACTTTAGGGTAGGTCAGGGATCATAGACTGTAAAGGTAGGTCAGGGATCACAATCTGTAAGGTAGGTCAGAGGTCAGAATTTTGTGAGGTCTCAGGTCAGAGGTCAAAGTCTTGTAAATAGGTCTGAAATAAAAGGAATTCGCTTTATTCAATATATATAATAATAAATGTTAAACAGAAATATACAGAACTTGAAATTACTGTAGGACTGATTTGGAGGGTGGAGTTTTAACACTAAGTGTACTAGTTAAAGATCTCTGGAAGTCTGATTTTATTATTGAATCATCTTGATTCCTAAAATGTGCCTTTTATAATTGGTATACAAGTATGTAAATTCAAAGTTCTACGAAAATCTTGTTGGTTAGCTGAATGATTGGGATTATTGTTATCTTAATTTGCTAGGTTTGACTGTACAGTGTTGTATTTATGTAAATACACAAATTTTCTTTCAGTCTGTGGTTAAAACGGGCAGATTACTAGTTGCCCATGAGGCTCCCCTTACTATGGGCTTCGCAGCTGAAATCGCAGCAACAGTACAGGTAATTCTCATAAAGATTTATTGTTAAAAAAAGCAAGGAATTTCTCAGAATATGATAATCAATCTTGCATTTTTAGCTCACCTTTGCCCCAGGATCATGAAATAGATGTAGACTGAAGTCAAATTTTCAATTGCCTGTAAAATATTTATTAATTACTGAATTAATCTCAAAATTTACAAATGACAGCACTTTTGTGAATCAATATTGGAATATATTTTAATTTTGATGTGCTTGACTTCCACAATAATTAAGTAAAAAAATGAAGACTTTGACTTAAGTCCTTCATGATCCTAGGGCCAGAGCAGAATGTGCGTGTTTTTCATAAAAAAAATTGTCTGTTGATAGTATTAATCGTTGTTGTCTGTGTCACAAACATTTGACTTTTAATTGACAAGATACATGTAGTTATGATAATATTGAATTTTGTTACAGTCTGAGTGTTTCCTGAACTTGGAGGCACCCATTGAACGAGTGTGTGGCTATGACACTCCGTTTCCCCATGTGTACGAGGCTTTCTACATCCCTGATAAATGGAAATGTCTAGAAGGAATCAAGAAGTTAATTAATTACTGAACTATTCTGGGAACTCTAAGTCACATCACAATCAAAAAATACAATACAGGCATATTGTATAAAATGCTGGTTGCTGGCTGCGAAAAGGAGTGTGAAAATCCAAAGGGGAGAAAAAAGTCATTTTCTGCAAAAACTGTTTTGTACTTAAATATGTAGCTGATTAAATTTTAGGAGCCAGGTTTTTGTTGCATAAAATGATTTCTCCTCTTATTTTACACAAAACTTGAAGAAAAAATATGACAGTTGCATAACTGTAGTGTAATAACCTAACACATTTATCAATTGAGGATTAAGATATATTCCATAGTGTGTGAATTTCAACAGGTCTCTATCTCAGTTTTCATTTTGTACAATTCGGTTTACCACTGCTAATTAAGCTAATACAAGACCTTTGCGAACTCGTACCCATTTTGGGACGGAGTAGTGTATTCAAAAACTTTCAAACCTGTAAATATATACTCATGAAATACGAACTAGAAATTCATAAAAATCTATTTATTCAGCATTTTGAATTGTTGAGTACTCGACTACTGCGTACTTGTTTTAAACAGCTGAATTTTTTAAGTGATCCAATTTTGATATTGAAGACTTATCTGCACTCTGTAGTGGAAATTGACCTATTTAAAGTGACTATGAAGGACATTTGCAAAGTACTCCATAATTATATCATAAAGATGTGTGAGAAAATATTAAACTTGTACACCGAGTTAATGATGAGAAAAGGAAAAGAGAATCTGCAAATCATGCAATTTTTGTGACACTTTGTTTACTGACTTGAATCTCATATGATGCATATCATGAATGCTATTAAATTATTTGGTGTATTAGTTGATGTTGTTTTTAGAAGAGAATGGACCTCTTTATGCAATTTTGGGGAAATTTATGTTTTTATTGCAAGACTTTATGTGGGCAAGAGCAGGTGAGATCTGATAACATTTGACATATCCATAGTATGCAAGAAACCTATTTTCAAGGTACCAAAATTTACCTACAGTTGAACTTTGATATCTTGCACATCAAGGTCTTTGAATACCACAGATATGTCAAAGTAAATTTGGAAGTCCCCATCCACTTATTCTTAACTTTCAATCCTGTTGAGTTTGAGATAAGAGGATTTGACTGTATATTATTCCTTTGAAAGTTAGCAGGATGAAGCAAAACAAAACCCACACAATATGAATTTCTGATGGATCGAAATAAAAAAAATCTTTAGAAATGGTTGCAAATACGCAAAATACACATATATTGTACTGTGTCACCGATGTGTTAATTGAATAACAATTTCATTACATAGATAAAGTGTTCTCTTCCAATGAAATCCTGTGATATTAAAGAAAATGATTTCCTTTAACTTTTTATTTTAATATCTAGTTATTTGACATTCAATAAGAACTTAACATTAGTCAGCTGATAATTAGCTGATAAATGCATATTTTTTTTCCTGGAGAATTATGAAAGTCCTTATTATAAAGTTTTTTTTGAATATTGACAAATTGATGAGACTTCTTGATATTAAGGTACATGTAGTGAGGAACTTTAATTTGAAAGTAAAGTACACTGTATGAATCCAAATAAGGAAAACTCATGTGAAATATGAAATGAATATACAGCTCCAACCAATCAAAATTTATAGGCAAGGTTAGATTTTTGCAGACAAACAGGGCAAATTGAACTACCCCAAACCTTATATTAGAAGGGCACAGTGAGCAACTTTTTCTGCCTTTAAGCAGATATTCATGAAAACTTGTGCAAATGATAGTAAGATCAAAGAGAAACATCTGATTTCTTAAAGAGTTATGCTTGACTGCTCATTGTCATCCACAGTGTTGTAGGATGAGCAACCAATTAAGGGTGTCTCGATCTGTCAAACTTGTAAAATTCATGATCCTAGGCCTGGATCAGAGGTTCAGGAGTTAATTAAGTTTAGATCTTTTTTTAATCCTTTATTGAAAATGTATTGGTTTTTATTTTACCTGGTTTACAAGGTAGACAAAAAAATTTAGTACATGGTTACAAAGAACAAGGGTGCCTCTTCCAAAATGTCAGTGATATCCATGGCCCTTATGTCAGGGCTTTAAGAGTAAGTGTTGGACGCTACTGATTTTATAGTGATATGCATGCTTCTAAGTGATTATTTGAAGATCTTTTCTGCCTTTGGGTATTAGACAAACATTGGGTGCAAAATCTTCTCTGTTCTAAAGCAGATAAACTATTAGTGCATGGTTTCAATGAGCAAGTTGACTCTTCCAAAAGTTTTTGCGTGTCTGTACATCTGTGAATCTCTCTGCAAAAACTTTACCTTGTCAATAACTTTAGCATGGTGGTGTACTTAGTGCTTTTATATTTTACATTGTATTCCTTATGACAAAATCCTTCTTTGGGTACCAATAGATTTGACCTTTTAACCTTGAACTCAAAGTTTGACCTACTTTTGCAAATTTTAATCTAAACCTTGGCCATAAATTTTGTACAAGTATTAGGACATTGATATTTCACATACATATTCCATGTGACCAGAGCTTTCTTTTGGGGGTACCATTTTTTCTTTACCTTTTGACCTTGACCTTGGAGTTTATCTATGTTGTAAAACTTTAACCTTGGTTAAAACTTTTGAATGTCCAGGGCTAAGGTCTTATTTCATTTAATATGCAATAAATTACATATTACAATTATATGTAATTGTTCAAAGACCAAGAGAGGACATGCATGAGCGTAATTGTTCAAAGACCAAGAGAGGACATGCATGAGCACTTTTAAATTGTTATGATAGAAGCACTTTTATCTTGCTATGTATGGACCGATGCTGGCGGTGGAGTGTTTATAGGTAGAACTTGGCATTACCAGTATACACCAGTTAGTTTTCGAGTTGAATTGCTGCCAATTAAAAACAACTTACTACTTTGTGGATGTCTATAACCATACTTATAATTTCACCTTCTTTTTTTTTCCAGATTTCAGACTATTTCATGCAATTACATTTTTATTAGGTATTTGATGGTTTGTATTATACTCAGGTGAATATTAAAGTCCTTGGACCTTTTGTCTTTTTTGTTATCTTTGAAGTTTAAGGTAATTGTAAAAACTGATCCATTAAAACATTATTACAATTGTCCACTTCATCATTCTGTGCACAAAGACTTTCAGATTTTTGAATTAGCTGCAGGGACAATTCAGAAGCTTAGAATGACGCAAACATAAAATGGATTCAATTAATGTTGACTTCATGATTAGATATCTTATCCATCTTCTTACAAATTGTTTTTTCCATTTTTTAAAAAACAGCATTTTTTGTTGCTGATAATTAGATAGGCAGTTCTAAAAAAAGAATTTTGGCATCTGTTAGCTCTATGACAAGATTACTGCAGTAATCTTGAAGAGTGCAGGCTAAGGGATATAATGGGTTACAAAGACACTTGACCTTGAGGTTTTAAGTGTTCATGGTCACGTTAAGTCTAACACTTAGATTTAATTGGCTCAGTGATTTGCAATGTGTTTCAATAAATATAATGCTCTCTAATGAAAATTAAAAAGAGCTGACTCTGCTATTGTTTTATTAGCTACATTTGTAGCAGGTCTGGTGTTCATATAGCCTGTACTTCGCGTTGTGTTTATTTTTTGTTTTGAGACGACTTTCTGAATATAAGACCTCTACATTAGATATACCTTGGAAATATTTGTAAATTATAATGAACTATAAAAGAAAATAAGATTAACAAGACTTTACAATTTATTACCCATCTTACAGTACGTTATAATAGTACACAATATGAAGACCTTAATTCCCAAACCCAAATATGGCCTAACTTAACCCAAATATAGTCTAACCTAAGTAGTAATATAATTTAATTAAGACAGACGAACAAGGGACGATTCCAGTATATGAAGAGTTTAGCTAGCGAAACCAGCTGTCTCCCTCTCCGATCTAATAGTTGCATAGCTTTATATATGAAAAAGGAACAAAAGAAACTGTCAAAAACCTTATTGGCCGAAAGATAAAAGTGGGCGTTTCCAAATAAAACGTGGACAATTTACATCGGGATCGAAATGTAATAATTATGAAAACGTAAATAAACCTAATCTGTCACACATTTATACATAATTGTGGTAAACAGTTCACATATTGTAGACTTAGACAAGGGCGTCATACATTTTGACTGTTCCATACAGGATTCAGAAGTGTTTGAGGGTTACACGAAATGTATTATAACAATTTCACTTTACCTATCAAAAATACACAAGCTAATTTGGTACATGAAGTACAGAAGGGTTTGATTTAACTAATGGTCAGACAGCGGAGTTGGTAAAGCGCCTGACTACAGGTCTGGTCCATTGCATTTTTAGATCACCTCAACGAAGTTGGGGGAGCTTATGTAATACCCTCAGCATCAGTGCTGGCATCGGCATCCCAGGTTAAGGTCAAGTTTTTTGGAGCAGTTTTCCTTTTAAATACTTCTATGCCCTATAATATTGATTAGGCATGAATGTTAGATAATTCCAGTGTGTTTCATTGTACCAGTCAATTAGGTTTCAGATGCTGCAATGTCAGCAAAGGAATGACCAGGTTAATGTTTTTGGAGCAGGTTAACATTTTTGGTGCAGTTTTTGGTGAAGGTCTCATTTCCAAGTAACTATAAGCACTATGTTGACCAAACTTGCATAGATGATACATCTAAGGATGCACACTACCAGACTAATGCTTCAGATGTTACACTTGGTGCCAATTATGCTGAAAGTGACGGGTGACAGCTAGACCTGCCAGGGAAGTTTGCCTTTGTTGGTGTCTTGTGAAGTCGAAGATCTTTCAGGATGTGGAAATATGGTGAAATGACAGGTTTGTTTGCTGCTAGCTAGTCAGACATCTCGGTTGGTAGAGCAGCTGACTGGGTATTCAGCAGGCCTGGATTCATATCCCAATCTGGTCCACTGCATTTACCCCCTTTCTTGTTACAAAACAATTTAATTGAATTAGTAACTATATATTTCCTTCTGATTTCAGTGGGTGTTTATATTTATCACAAATTTTACTTGAGAAATGAAGCAGATAATTAATGACTTCTTAATCATAGATTGCTTGGCAGCATACATAACTCATTACATTTTCAAATGGAAGAAAGTTCTATAAGCAAGTCATAAATTCACATGCTAATAATATTTCAATTGTAAATCAATTAAAAGTGTTGTAATTACACTTTTAAATTAAATTCCAAGGAAATCCCAAATAAATTAGTTTCAGTGGGTGTTATGTTGATCACACTTTACTGAAATCCCAAGCAAATAGCTTTACACTATACTAGCTGCAGATTTGTAGCTTAATTGCTATCTGATCTGCAAAAACATGGATGGACAACCAAAGAGCTACAGTACTATTTACACCCATTGAAATAATATTCATTGTGCACCAAAAATCAATCTGAAAATAATAATGAACATTGTTCCTAACATATTCTATTACTATTTGAACATTAAATATATTTCCTATAACTGTTGTTTAGTTCTCCTGGACTTGATATTGAGACCATTCAGAATTGTTCCTTTTCAAACTCATTTTTTGCCATTTTTGATGGAAAGATAATTAAGCCCCCAAAGCATTTTATGCTCAGATGTCATCTACAAGTTAGAGTAGTTGTGAGGGGACTAAGGAATTTTTAGCTCTGTATAATGCACTTCAACAAAGTTGAGGGAGCTTATGTGATACCCTCATCATTGATTTCTGAGTGTCAGCATCCCATGTGAAAGTTTTCAATGAATTTAAACTCTTGAATTAGCAACAAAGTTTAATTATTTTTTTAATTAATAAGTATTACTAGAATTCATTAAGCTTATACTT